TTTCTGAAACATAGATGGATTTCTTTCCTGCCTTCCTCTTCTTGTCTTACTGGTCACGTTTTGTCTCCCCATCTTGTTCCCCTCATCTCATACACAGGGCAGCTGTCTCTTGATGAGTTCATTGATGGGGCCAGGAAAGACAAGTGGGTGATGAAGATGTTACAAATGGATGTAAACCCTGGGGGATGGATCTTGGAGCAGAGGAGAAAGAGTGCTTTGTTTTGAGAAAATTCAGGTTTGATACAGCTGAAAATGTGATGCTGACTACAACTGTGGCTCTCTTGCTCTAGGGTGGTAGTGGTTTTCCTTTTTAATACAATCTCAGCATCCAGATGAAAACTTCAGTGGTTTAAGAAGCCCTATCTCAATCTAAAACCCATGTGCTGCAGGTACCCCATGAATAAGTCAGTCTATGTACAGAATACCATGTTTGCCAGCTGTGGTTTTTGGTTGCACCCCAAGGGACAGACTTTGTGGCTTCCTGTAGTGGATCCTGAGCAGGGTTTTAGCCTGAGAACAGATGGGATTGGGAAGTGACAGTGGTACTGTCTCCAGTGCAGACTAGTGTTGGCATCATTCATGCCTGTGAGACACAAACACATCAACCCCAAAGTAACAGCAGAAGAGGTGGTCTGGCAGTCTTCATACATCCAGGATGTCTATATGTATGTTTAGTAGACTGTACTGCTAATGTAAGATATTGAACACCAACAAATGACTCTCAAGTGTGAGAACTGGATTATAAGCAGAGCCAGGCCAATATACAGTTGAGGAAAACAAGGTGTGGGCTGGGAGGTGGAGCAGTAACTCCATCTTGCATCTCCCTCCTGGGGACCAGACTCTGCTGCTTCTTCCTGTTCAGAGACCTGGGTTCTGTGTGGCTGGAAAAAAGCTATTTCCAAACACTGAGCAGCAATAGAAAATGTACCTCTTCTTGACAGCCACTTGTAGAGGTCAGACTTGCACAAGTGTGGTTCTGGTCCTTTTGAGCCCCTGTTTCTCACCTGCATCATCACTCTAAACAGCTTTCCCTGCCCTGTGAAGACTGAATGAGCTTGAGGAGCTCCAGGACTTTCACTGCACTGGGACAAGTTTTGAGTGGAAGGAGAGAGAAGGGAAGAGCAGAGTTTTGCTCTCTGCGGTGAGAGGATTGGTGCTGCTTTATCAGCAGGACCACAGGATGGAGCAAGTGACAGAATCCGAGTTACTAAAGTGGTACAGTGGTTTTACACTGGACTTAATTTAGCCACGGGATATAGGTATAAAGTTTGCACAGTTGTAGGCTGAGCTGCTATTCTATCCCATATTCCTACATATATACATCTATGTGGAAAGAGAGTTTGGGTTGAAACAAAGTTTTTGTTCACCTTAGTTGTTAGCAAGAAAATAACACGAGTTTTTGTGGCTTAATTTTCCCATGGGATCAGTGGGCCAGCTCATACCCATGAAAAGATTTGCAATCCCTTTTTTGTGGCCTTTCTGACTGTATTATCTTTCATTAGTTGGTTAGCTTGCTGCTTTGTCCTGGCAATTTAACCAATGGAACAAACTCAGGAATATGAGGGATCCATAGGGATAAGACACAATCACTGCTAGAGTTCAGATGCACATTTCCATGTCTAAATGGCCTTTTGAAGAGTGCTCTGGAAATACACGCCAGCTTGTGGCATGCTCGCTTATCAAAGCTCATTAGACTTCCAGTTTATGCTGCTGTAAGGCAGCTGTTTAAAGCTCATTCAGGTCAATAGCTGAACAGCCAAAGAGCTGGAAGAAAAACCTGACTTCTGACCTGAGAAGAAGAGAAGATCTCGCTTGCCTGGAAGAGAAATTCTCTTCACTGGTTTTCCAGCTTGTTTTCCAACAAATGTTTTCGTGGGAGGATGCAAATCTCTACTTCCTTAAATTTCAGCCTCTCGACCAACATAACACACTGCTGCTCACACAACCCTTACGTGGATGCTTAGTGACTATAGCTGCGTTGTGCAGGTTTACTTCAAGGCTTTCAGTTCTCTTACTCTGTTCGCTTGGTCGCATCAGGCAGAGGAAGGAGCTGTTGGGTGCCCCCCGCACCAGCAGTCCTCTGTTGGGGTGGTAGAGGGCATCCTAACACTGAGCACTTGGACGGTTGGTGGTAGAAGTTTTGTAACACATGGATTTAATAAAGGAATTGTGTATGAAAGTTCTGCTTGGTTTGGAGTATTTGTTTTCACTCAGAATGGAGGCAAAGACCTGAGTATGACCAAAAGCAGCGTCTTTAGAACGGACTTAATGAATTTAAGGAGGTGTTAAGTGTAACAGCTAACCTAGGTAAGACAGCTACCAGGTGGAGAAGACAATGCCTGTTCTAATCCTGCCAAGACTGAAGCAGGAACCTCGAAGCATTTAGGACTCAAAGCACTGGACGTGGTAGTGGGATGGTTCTATCTCCGCTGGCCTGGAAAGCCCCAGGATGGTGGCAATGCCCATGGTGAATAAGGCCTGTGTTGGATAAGGCCTGTGTTAGTGCTGGCATAACCCAGTGGAAAATCATTCCTATTATCAGTTGTGTAATCTTTTGTCAAGAAATCACAAGGTGCTTTCGTTTTAGTCCTATTTTTAAACCCATAGGTATAAACGCTTTGATCTCCTCCCAAACTCAGTGCAACGTTCACATCAAGCTGTTGATGTCAGACCTTTTGCATAATCCATTTTCCAGACTTACAGCCCAGCTAGGATTGGATTTGACTGATCGGATTTCCTTGGGGTCTAAATTGGGAGATAGGATGGCTTGGAAAAGGCAAATGCCATGTGATGTTCCTGAGCTTCTACCATCTGCTCTGACGTTTGATGCCTCTGAAGGTGGGCAGGATTGAAGATGGAATAATCAGGTAAGAAAGCTGAAGGTGAGGCTGCTGTTGAAGGAGGCTGGTGGGGAGAGGCACCAGGGAGCAGCAGGAATCTTATCTTGGGATGCTCTGGGATATTCCTGGGGGAAGCACAGAGCTCTGCTTTGCATGCTCTTTATTTGCCTATGCTCTCAGAGGGGAGCTTCACCCATGGATAGCTGGGGTTTGGTGGCTGCCCAGGGGTAAGGTTTGTGTCCGGGTCATTCCCAAAGCACCCATGTGCAGCTTCCCATGTCATGTTGAACTGAACGGCCATGCCAGGACTTACACAGCCCCTTGCTGGTCACTATAGGGACTTCTTGTGGTCTCACCACACTCGTTTCCTCACCGTACCTGTGCTCAGGTCTGGCAGGATGGGAAAAGATGACTTTCCTCCTCCCCTTCAAAGGGAAGTGCACCTCAAATTTAGAAAGTATCTCAAACACATCCCCCTTAAATACCCTCTATTTAGAATCACAGAATGGTTTGGGTTGGAAGGGACCTTAAAGCTCCTCCAGCTCCAACCGCTGCCACGGGCAGGGACCCCTTCCACTGGAGCAGCTTGCTCCAAGCCCCTGTGTCCAACCTGGCCTTGGACACTGCCAGGGATGGGGCAGCCACAGCTTCTCTGGGCACCCTGTGCCAGCGCCTCAGCACCCTCACAGGGAAGAGCTTCTGCCTAAGAGCTCAGCTCAGTCTCCCCTCTGGCAGCTTCATGATGCCAAAACAAAGGTTTCTGCACTTGCATGAGACAGCAAATGTGTCCTGCTGGAAGCAGAATGATTGACTGAGGGAGAAAAAGCACAACCTGCAAGAGCCTTGTAAAACAGCTTTATTAGTGCGCTATGAGAATGGCACTACAAAAGCTTCATGGTGAAACACAGTCAAATGAAAAAGATGCCCAGGAAAAATGGTCAGAAAGTTGCTTATGAATTGCAAGCATCCAATGCCAAATAACAACTTTCATCTAGCCAGGAGCTCCTTCCTGGTGTCCTGTATTGCCTCGTATGAGGTGAGGAAATCCCTCTCGAGGAGCAGCCAAGGCACAACCCCAGCTTGGTGTGGGGCTGAGGCTGCTGCTCTCACAACCTCCTTGTGCGTGTGCTGGGTCCTGGGCACAGCCCCTGCTCCTGGCACTGGTTATCAGCACCGGGAGATAAGATTCCTGTGCCCAGGATGCTTTAATAAGGGGTGACTGGGGTTTATTCCACAGGGGACGGTCCCCGAGCCCACTGTGCCATGGATGGTACCCATTGCCTGCTCAGGAATACTCAGGTGCTTGCGGATGCTCATGGTGCGGACATGGTGTCTGGTCCATCTCTAGCAGCACAGCCCTTCAGACTGCGTGCAGTTTGCTGCCGTTGTCGTTAAAACCACTCGAGGGTGCCACAGAGCGTAACTTGGAGGAGAGGTTTTGTTGTGCAGCTGAGGAGACACGCAGGAATCTTCCTACAAACGGGCACAGCTTTTTCCCCTCTCAGGTTACCGCCATCGCAGCCCTTCCAGGTATTCCAAACAGAAATACTGAATCCCAGCCTGGTTTGGGTTGGAAGGCATTTGAAAGCTCATCCACTTCCAACCCCTTGCCATAGGCAGGGACCCCTTCCACTGGAGCAGCTTGCTCCAAGCCCCTGTGTCCAACCTGGCCTTGAGCACTGCCAGGGATGGGGCAGCCACAGCTTCTCTGGGCACCCTGTGCCAGCGCCTCAGCACCCTCACAGGGAACAGTTTCTGCCTAAGATCTAATAGCATGCCCTGAAAGTTCAGATAGTTGTTCAAAAAAGGCACCATTCTGTGTTTTTAATGCTTTAAAAACAAAGAGGAGCCACTGCATTCACCACTCCCCTTTTTCTAGCTCATAGGTGGTTTTCTCTTAGAATCATAGAATCATGGAAGAGTTACGGTTGGAAAGGACCTTAAGATCATCTCATTCCAACTCCCCTACCATGGGCAGGGACACCTCACACTAAACCATGCCACCCAAGGCTTTGTCCAACCTGGCCTTGAACACTGCCAGGGATGGAGAATTCACAACCTCCTTGGGCAATGATCTTACATGATCATTAACGATTGCTAACAGAATAATAGCAAATGAAAGCAGCAACGGCTAAAAATGCTGATCTTGTGCTCTGGAAATGTGCATGGAGAGAGAAGGTTCGGGTCTGCTGTGCAGGTTTCATACGTGTGTCCTTTGGGGACCTCCTTTCACCAGGGCCAAGTGCTGGCAGCCCTGGGGTTCATCCCCTGCAGATGCTGGTGTTGGCCGCTGCTTGGTGTGAGGCTCTCTTGGTGCATTGTGTCCCTGCTTCACACAAGAGGTCCCACTGGCAGTCCTGGGGGGAGATGTGTGCTTCCAGCACGATGAGCTGCCATCACAGCACCCCTCTTCACTGCTGCACTGGGCAGGACCAAGGCAGAGCCCCAGACTCCCCTGAGCCATGTGCCAGGGGAGCGGTAGCTTAGGAGCAGACCCTGGTCCCTATAGTCTATCGCTGGCTGCACTGGTGCTGGGGCAGCTCCCACAAACACATTTGTTTTAAGGATGCAAAGGGGGGGAAGCAGAGACGAAGGGAAGGCATCCCGGGAGCCTATTGGGCAGCCTCTGCCTCCTGCTGCGGCTCGTGCGGGTTCTTCCCATCGTTCTGGATCAACCGGACGATGTGTGTCAGGTCCAGGCTGCGGGTGAGGATGTCGAGCAGCACTTCATCCTTCTGCACGCCCTCCATGAACTCTTCCAGGGAAAGCTCGCCTGCAGGAGCACAGTGGGAAAAGGTCTGTTCAGCCCTGCAGCCTCTCTGCTCCCACTGCAGCCCCCCTGGAGTTACATGGACCATAACACGGGGCCCTTCCTGGTGTCCCAGGTCTGTGTCGTACCCCCCAAACCCCATCCCAGCTAAATCCTGCCAGTACAACAAGGGACAGTTTGCAGTGGCTCCAGCCCACGGAGGAGATGAGTTAAACCCTCATGGGGAGCTGCTCTCTTCCACATCCTGGTGTTTTGGGCCATCCAGCATCTGGAATTGCTGTGGCCTGCAGGGCAGGGGGAAGCTGGGAGCAGGATTTGGCTTTGCGTAAGGAAGCTCCTCACCATCTCCATTGATGTCGATTTTGTCAAACACCATGTTTGTGAATTCCTCAGCCGTCATCGTTTCGTTGCACCGGTTGATGGCTCGAATAGCCTGGAGGGGAAGAAGGACACAGGATAACTACCGAGTGTTGTGAGGTTTGTGTACCGGTGGGTACCAGCAGCTGAGTGACCAGATGTGAGAGACCAAAGCTTTGATGCAGGCAGTTAGTTCTGAAAGGAATAAATCCTTGCTAAAAAACCCAGAGATTAAAATCCCTTAAAAAGGCAATCAATGCATTAAAAGATTAAGCGCCCGCACTGGGATAAGCCAGGAGCCGTCCACCTCTGCAAATCCTGCGATTAAATCGAAGTGCTTATCTCAGCCTGGGTTGCAGTGGACGTGCTTAAACAGCCTGCAATGGGGAGACAAGGGCTTGCTGTGGGGCTGAGCGTGCCGGAGTGGGGTGCTTGAGGCAGGGCGGCCAGGCCGGTGGGACTGGCAGAGGACACGCAGCAGGTTTGGCCACTGCCTGTTCATTTACCAGGGAGGTGTCCTTTGGGTTGGAACATTCCTGTTGCAGCCTTTCTATGTACCTGCATCCAAGGACCCTTGTGGGTGATAGGAATGGGAAAGGCTGAGCCGCTCACCTTGATGATGTTCAGCAGCTCTCCCCGGTCAATGCAGCCGTTCCCATCCACATCGTAGAGCTTGAAGTACCACCGCAGCTTCTGATCCACCTTCCCTTTGAGGACCAGACTCAGAGCTGCCACGTACTCCATAAAATCTATGTAGCCGTCCTGGAAGCAGAAGGGTAGAATCTGAACGAGACTCGAAGCAAAGAGTCAGGCAGGAAGAGATTTTCCTGGCCAGTTTATGGATGTCCCCACTGGAAGACTCCATGTGCTGAGGGCTCTGTTAATCCACACAGGGCTGTTATGTGTTGATAACAACCAAACTCAGTGGGTGCACATGGCTTAGACTAACCTTCAAAGCCAGCCTGAGCGGAAGGAGCCTATGCAAAGCAGTGGTAATTCAGAGGTCAAAGAGGAGCAGGTTTACACAGATGAACCCTGATGGATTACCTGATGTTATCCTTTACAGCTCTTTTCCGCTGCTTTTTTCTCCCATGCAAAGCTTCAAGAGAGGAATGAGCTCAGGAATTCCCCCAGTGTTTTGGGAAGGAGCTGCTCTGTCCCTGTGCCATTTGTGTGTCTGCTTCACTCTGTTACCTCGAAAGCACAAATACTTTTATCTTTGACTTTCCTCCCCGGTGTTTGCCGAGCACCAGCTCACACCACAGCATTGAGAGACGTTCAGCTGGACCCACAGACGGCTCCCAGGCCGGGTTATGGTACCATTGGCACCAATGCCACCACCCTGTGATGTTCACAGCTTCTAGGGTGCTTGCTAAAGTGCCACAGAGCATTTTGATGGCACAAACCATTGGGATAGAGAGCGCTTTGAAGGAAAATGATAGACACTACAAACCATGGGCAGTCATCAATAGAGAATAAGCCAGCGTTTTGTCAATGAGAAAAGCCATCAAGGCCTGTTCAGGAATAGATCATCTGCTTTATCCTGCTGCTGCAGGTGCCGGATTAGGTATAAATTGATACTAAGCCCCATTCCCAGCAGGATTTCCTGTGCATCAATTCCTTTTTCAGGCAGGCGTTCAAACACGGGGCAGTGAGCAAGGTAAAGGCTTAAACATAGAATCATAGAATCATGAATGGTTTGGGCTGGAATGGACCTTAAAGCTCATCCAGTTCCAACCCCTGTCACGGGCAGGGACACCTTCCACTAGAGCAGCTTGCTCCAAGGCCCTGGATGTTTCTTCCCCTTGGAGTCACAGCATCCATCTGCTTCTCTCCTGGCTCCAGAGCTGGGAAAACAGCATTCCCAAGCTCGTGCAGGTGCTCTGGGACTACCCTGCTCCAGGGATGCAGCACAGCCACAGCCTGAGATGCAAAGCCTTTCCATGGGCAACAAAAGGCCTGAGCTCCTTACTGTATGGGACTGAGCACATGTAATAAAAGCAATGAAACTCTAGTCCATCTATAACTTAAAACAATGGAAAACCAAACCAGGTCTGTTCTGCAAAGCAGAGCTCGTGCCACGCTTGGGAACTCTCTGTTTCTGCATGAATGCAGTACTTGTTCTCACCCCACTCGCTTCTTCCTCTGTCACAACACTCGCTATATGAGGGTTAAAGGGGACCTCATTGGAAACAGATCACAGACACAGATAAAACCAAACTATTTGAGTCATTTAAAAGGAAAACATCAGCTCAGGGCCAAATCTTATTTCTCCCAGAGCAGGCAGTAAATGGGGAGGTTTTGCTGCCATTTTTCACTGTACATACCTATCATTTATGATGCCAAAGAGAATCAGACCATCCACAGTGACACACACAGAGTCCTAGCGCAGTTAGGGTTGGAAAGGACTTTAAGATCCTCTTGTTCCAAGCCCTTTGCCACGCACAGGGACATCCATCCCACATACACCCACGTACCCCCCATGCACATCACACCCAGAGCCGAGCCCTGCCCAGGCTGAGCGGGGAGGACGATATTTACCTTGTTAAAGTCAAACGTCTCAAACATTTGCTCAACGTATTTGTTGGCAGCAGGACTCAGGTTTTTCAAGCCAAAGAACTGCTTGAACTCATAGAGGGTGAGCTGGCCCGAAGGACACTCCGTCATGAACTTCTTATACCACTGGTGGCACTCGGTGGTGCTCAGCTCCTCCACGGATTTCCCGTCCATGTTCCCCATCTCGGCTCACTTTGCAGCCAAAGCAATGGGTGTTTTGAGGTGGAATTTGAGGGCTTTCTCTTGACTTCTGCTTCTTGCCTTTAGAGTCTCGGTGTTGGTGCGCTGCAGGGATCACTCGTTGGGAAGAATCCAGCTGCCTGTGTGTGGGTGATGGAGGCAAAAGCCACCTCTCCCCAGGGAAACTCCAAAGCACAAAATCCTCTTTGGACAAGAGGGTGGCATTTAAGTACCCAGCAAATCCCTCCCCGGCGGCCAATGAGGCGCAGGGGGGCGATGGGCTCCTGCCAGGCATTAAGAGTTGAGGGTTAAAATAGAAAGGAGGTAAAATGGGCAAGTCTTGCAGATTACAGGCCCAGCAGGGGGTGGAATTTTCTCTGAGATGATGTAATCTCCTAATCCACCTCATTTATGATTTGGGGGGGGGGGGGGTCACGTAAGTAATACCTTTTGGACCAAAATCAGAGCGAGAAGAAAGAGAAGAACCACTCGGAAGTGCTGCTACTGAGGTTTGGTCTCCTCTGCCTGGAGGATTTCCAGTCCGAGCCTGAAATTCAGGAAGGGGGAGGCACCATGTCCTCTCCTGTAAGAGCTGCTGCATGAGGGTAAATTTGGTGTGCTGGCACCAACATAGGAACATAATTGCTTTGACTGGTAAAGCTTTAAGTGCTCTAAATGCAGACACCACACGCTGTGATGATCCTCTCCCAGGGAAGCTCTCATTCCTCCCAGCTGATGGAGCCCTGTGCTCTATCTCTTCAGTGCTGGACACGGCACATCCCATGTTACCAGCACTCAGCTGATGCAAGTGCTGTTGAATGCAGCTTTGATTTTCATTTATGATGAATTACCATGTAAATATGACCACAACCAGTGCTGGTTTTACCCTGATGCACAGCGCTCAGGGAAGGACTGGGAGATAAAGTAGCATGGACCAGATCATCCACTAGTAATAAGATGGATGTGACAACTGGATCTCAACCTGCAGAGAGTCTGTCCTGTAACACTTACTTTTGTGTCCATGTATATAACTTTAAGACAAAAAGCCCAGCTTTTATGTGTTGCAGAGCTCAGTATTGCAAATTAGGAGTAACTCTGCTAAAGCAAGTGGCGCTCTGCAAGTGTAAAACAGTTACAAAGAAGGAATTAGCTTGGGAAGTGCTAATCCTACACTGGCCAGCAGCAACAGGCACAGCTCTGCGAGCAAAGTGGTGCTTTAGTGGGTGCCCTGGACCCTGACCCACTGCCAAAGGGATGTGGCTGGGATAGCCCGTCCTGTGGCACACAGAAGGGTTGCAGTACTGAGACATTCATTAATAGCAGAAAGGTTGGGTATTAAATGTGGATGCAGGCTCAGCAGCTCCTTCAGGTACTTGCTAGCGGTGCATCCAGTTGCCCAGGATCAGAATCCCTCACCACGCTCACAGGGAAGAGCTTCTGCCTTAGATATTTCATGCTGCGTTCTGAGGACAGCTGCAGGCACGTGCCCCCGCCATTTCAGCTCCAATTAGCATCTCTTTTCTGAGCACCACAAATGAAACACGCTTTTCCATTCACAAAGGACAACGCTTTGCCTGTGTCTGGGGAAAGCCTGGTGAATGAAGAAGTCCTTCCAAAGCACGAGCAGAAGCCAGGTTCCTTGTGCAGATGGGCCTGGCTGGGTCACCATTCACACACTGCCTCCACATAAGCTGGTAGCAACAAATGACAGGACAAACGGGGCTAGGATTTGAGAGCAAAACCCACCCTGCACGTTTGTCTGAGGAGCAGTGACAGCTTCACCAGCCATTGCGGTGCTCCCTGGTTGTGGCTCAGACACCCAGTGGGAAGCTGAAGTCACACCAGAACACATCACTGCTTTCATTCCTTGGGATTTATTGGGTTTCCCTGGGGCTTTTTGCCCCGGATGGGTCTCCATTTCACAACGTTTGCACTCGGGACATCCATCACCTTCCTGGTGTGATCGGTGTCGCGGTGGAAGCGGTACCCGCACGTTGCCTTCTGCGCCGTGGAGAAGGGGCTGTACGAGTTGGAGCAAGTGGATTGGTAGAAGAGAAAATGGAAGGAATTGGGCCGACGGTTCCCATAATGGGCGACAAAAGGAATGCAGTGGGCAGCCAAAGGCCGGGCCCTGTGGGGCTGTGCTGGAGGGGGCTGGCTCTTTGGGATGGGCGGCGAGTGGGAGGCATCCTGCTTCTCTTTGGTCTCCTCTGTTCCCTTTGGTCTCTTGTGGTCTTTGCCGGGGGCTTCTGGTGGCTGAGTCCTCTATGGGGCAAAAGAACCAGACAAACTCACTGCAATTGACCGCACACTTTGCTCTCCTCACCAGGGCAGAAGGCCCCTGTACTAGTAACCAAAAAGCAGCAAGTTAAGCAAACCAGCAGAGCTTATGGAATACCAGCCTGCTTGCACCCATTGCAAAGGCAGTCAGTAGGCAGTGTAAATGCAGAGAAGGCAGCTATTTCCATTTCATAGAGTTACAGCCTGGTTTGTGTTGAAGGGACCTTAAAGCTCATCCAGTTCCAATCCCTGCCATGAGCAGGGACACCTTCCACTAGTGCAGGTTGCTTCAAACCCTAGCCAACCTGGCCTTGAACACTGCCCTTTCTTTAGCTAAAAATCGAAGGTGGCGTTGCTCAAAGTGCTTAAAGTGAGTTTAAAATCAAATGATGCACTGGAAATACAGAAAAGGCTTAGTGGAAATGAAGGAAATCATAGTGAGAAATGCCCATGGCAAGACTCAAAGCACTTGATTCTCTCTTGACTAGTTATTTGTAACAGGGCAGAGTGAATATAAAGTGCTACCCAGCTTCTGATGTCCCTGCTGTCAGTCTGACCTGGCTCCCCCTTCCGCCTCTTTTGGAGGATGCAATTCCTTTCTGTGTTTGGCACAAGGAACCCCAGTCCCAGATGGAGATCTCAACCGTGACAGCTATAGATGACAGCGGTACCTGTTCCTTGTAAAGCCTGCACCTAACCACAGCTATGGCAAACCAGCCATGAAGATGGTCCAACCCCATCTGACCCACAAGACGCAATGGGATGTATCAGTGGTGACAGAACCATAACGCTATCCTTTGCAAACACAGCCTGGGGCATCAGCTCAGCAGCCTCCGGGTCACCCTGTGGGTGCCTACCACCACCCTGCGCCTTGTGCTGCTGTGCTCACTGCTCTTCCCAAATCTCTAAGTGGGTTTCGCCCTCCTGGGGATGTGCAGGGAAAATCTGGGCTGTTGATAACAGGCAAAGCTCTTCCCCACCACCAGCTGGGTCACGTTGCTGAAGTCATGGGGCAAAGCCAATGCCACCAGCCCTATGCACGAGCTGCCCCTGTGGTCCTCGGTCCATCACAGGCTTCACTGTGCATTTACATCCCCCCTCTGCAGAGGAGGCGGTGTGGACGTGTGCCCCAAGACACACATGGGGCTGAGCTGTCACCCCTGGCTGCTCCAAGGCTCTGCTTGACTGAGCAGCTGTTTGTGCTCTGTTATTTAACCATGACTCAGTTATCTTGTGTTCATTGATGACTCCTCCGTGCTAATGGAAACTGGCTCTTCCCCAGCAATTAACTGCTTTACTCCTGGGCGTCCTAAATAAACGCTTTGCTGTCTGCCTTTATTTTTAACCCACTAAAGAGGTTTCCTAGTTTCCGTGACGCCCTGGCTTACCGGGTGCTCTATTTCTGATCCTGTGCTCTGAGCACTGCCTCCTAAACCTGTTAGGAGGGGGGACACCAGCAAACTGTTTAGAAATCCCCTTCGAGGGAAATGCCCCCATCCCCATGGACTCATCACCTTTTTTTTGCTACCCATTTCCCCATTTCATTTACCAGATGCTCGCAAGGTTCCATTGCTGGAGCTCAGGACAAGCATTATTTCATCCAGCACTTAAACACTTTACCCCCATTTTCTCCACTTAAAGAGATGGATTTTGGCTCCTGAAGAGCACAGTTTGTACCATGACCATCATTTCAGTGTGGTTTGCGTGGCCCTGCCCCGAACACGGATTTGCTCAGAAACGATCCCGTTCACATGTGTGCATGATTATAGCTCGTGGCCTTTCTCGCTTCGGAAGATAAGAGACAAGTACGCACACGACTGCAGGTGCGTCCACCCAGCAGGGAGGCGTTCGTGTTATTAAAGCAGTGCAGTTGGGGTGGGGAGCAGAGGCCGTGGCTGCTTTGAAAACCCAACTGCTAAGTCATGTGGATGCTTTTGAGGTGTGCAAGCCTTGCACGCAGTCGGTGATAGGGGCTGACAGCCGTTCCCAGTGACAGGCAGGGTACCGTGCCTTGTGAAGCACTCTTGTGATGGGGTTCGGCTGCCCCGGGTGTTGCTGCTCATCCCTTGGGGCACCTAAGGGTGCAGAAACATCCTCCTTGCTGGGGGAGTGCATCTGCTTACGTGATCCCTGTCTTTGAGGGGAAGCATCAGCTCAATGTCCTCAGTGCTATTTATGGCACTGCCAGAGCTCAGTGGCTGAATGAAGAATCCCACATAATCCTATTGCGTCCAGTTATGTGTTTAGAGATCCCTAATCCCTGCTAAACTGCTGTTGTCTCTCAAGGAACATCCTCACAGGTGGGGTCACAGAGAGAACAACGATTTCAGTAAATCAAGGGATCACCAAGGGTTCAGACATCCATTCTAGATGAGGGTTCCCCTGCCCGTCCTGCCCTGTGCTTCTGCCACCCCCCTTGCCCTGCAGCAAGAGAACCCTGATCCTGCGCTTGTCCCTATGGAGCCATCCCAGGTCTGTCACACAGGGTTTGCTCTGAGTTCTCCACAGATGATGGTGATGCAGCAGGGCAGGGACGAGGCATCACACCAGCACCACCAGGACCCTTCCGTCCCGGCCGCCCATGGGAAGGGGATGGGGAAAGCAGGAATCCCTCCTGCCAAGCCGTGAGCTCCCACCTGCGAGGCCATCTCCCTGCTGAGGACCCGCACACAGGGACCCCGGCACACGGAGCTGTCAGTGCTGGAGCTGGAGGCAGCGCTGCCGCGGCTGCTGGGGCCATTGGGACCATTGTGACCATCGGAGCCATTGTGACCATGAGGGTGGGAGCTGTCACAGTGGGGCCCAGGCTGAGCAGGGCTGCTCGGGCCCGGCGTGCTGGGGAGCACAGGGGCTCAGCCACGGAGAGGAGGAGGGAGCTGCTTCTCCTATGGGACAAGGGAGGGATTGCATCCAACGGGAGCCACCGCTGCTGCCCGTCCATGGCCGGAGGGTTTCTCCTCCCATCCCTCCCCGGGTCTGGATGAGGATCCGCACCACACAAGCGCTTCACACACCTGCGGATGCACCCTGTGCATCTGCAGAGTGCAGCTCCTCCCGCTGATGCAAAAGCAGATTGTTCTGGGGTGTTTACTTGTAATAGGATCAAAGGCAGCCTCACACTGTGGCGTGTTCCATCACAGCAGAGCTCACATGGCTATTTCTATGCCACAAAATCCGATGGCGATCTTCCAAGTGCTTTCCCGAGCTCTGTGCTCGGCCCACCTTTAGCTGTGTGGCCCCAATGGAGATAGGAGAGTGGCACTTGTCCTCCCTTAAAATAGCAGCCGTACCGCCACGCTGGGCATCTTTGCTGCCCCTTTCACATGCATGCTTTGCCAAAAGCAAACCTTCCGTGCTGCTCTTGCAAGCCCTGGGCTTTCCCTGGTCTCCCGGGGTGAGGTCTGTGCTTTATTAGGAGGAGGAAGGTAAAGAGCAAACGTTTTTCATCTGGAACAGACAGGAGGGTGCACATGAGCTCCTGTGTTCACTGCGATAATAAATTCACCTTGGAACACTCATCCCTTCCTGTTGTGAGGAGTGTGTTTTCCAACGCGCACCACCCAGGGTGAGGCTCAGCCATCGCTGCTGGTGGCTCGGGTACAGCTCACAGCCATGGAGCTGCTCCGGAGTCCCCCCTGCCCCAGGGCAGAGCAGTTCTCCAGGGCTGAATCACACCTTTCTCCTCCTGCAGAGCATCCCTGCGGCGCTGCAGCCCCTTTGATGTGTCCCTGGTGCAATGACACTTCGTAGGACACCGCCGTTCACGAGCCCAGGCTTTCTCGTTCCGTGGGATTTTATTGGCTTCTCTTCTTAAAATAGCTCCTTTTCTCTTTCCCCTTTCCCTTCACTTTGTCTGTGTATCCTGCTCAGTTTGGTCACTCAAAGACTGAATATCAGCAAGCACATATGTCCTGCCCATCATAGAATCCCAGACTGGTTTGGGTTGGAAGGGACCTTAAAGCTCCTCCAGTTCCAACCCCTGCCACGGGCAGGGACCCCTTCCACTGGAGCAGCTTGCTCCAAGCCCCTGTGTCCAACCTGGCCTTGAGCACTGCCAGGGATGTGGCAGCCACAGCTTCTCTGGGCACCCTGTGCCAGCGCCTCAGCACCCTCATAGGGAAGAACTTTGGCTTAATATCTAATGTCAATCTCCCTTTCCAGGTCCTTCATTTCATCCGATTCCTGCTTTCAAGAGGTGTCAGTGAATTTTCTTTCCATGTCTGGGGTTCACAGGATTGGGTCCTGCACAGAGCTCTCTGGGGCAGTGCTGTTTCCCAGTTTCCATTCTTTTCCTGCTCTTGCCTGCGGGCAGGGCAATCCCTTTGCCTCCCATCCCAACTGAAACCCAACTGTGGGTCCCTGTGGCGTGTTCCTGGGCAGATGGCTGCAGGATTGTCCCGGCTCCCTGCCCCACACAGGCAGCAGTTAAGATAACTGTCAGCAAGGCGTGAGTCCCGCTAATTGCAGGGCTTGTGCATGGCATAGAGCTGTCCCTTCCGCAGCACCGCTGCTGCAAGAGCCGACTGGGAGCCGGCTGCCATTGGAGCATGGGGCATTGGGCATAATTGTGCACACCCCCTTTAGACAGGGACAGGCCGAGGGGAATGGCTTTAACCTGCCAGAGGGGAGACTGAGATGAGCTCTTAGGCAGAAGCTCTTCCCTGTGAGGGTGCTGAGGCGCTGGCACAGGGTGCCCAGAGAAGCTGTGGCTGCCCCATCCCTGACAGTGCTCAAGGCCAGGTTGGACACAGGGGCTTGGAGCAAGCTGCTCTAGTGGAAGGGGTCCCTGCCCGTGGCAGGGGCTGGAGCTGGAGGAGCCTTAAGCTCCCTTCCAACCTGAACCATTGTGTGATTCTGCACTTACAACTGCAGGACTGAATTCCTGTGGTACAAGATTTTAACTCTTCTTTTCTTAATTCACTTTATTTAAGTGCTGCCTGACAGTTTATGCCATAATTAGATTTTCCCTTTGAAATACCCTAACAGTACTCATTTTTCACTGTTCACAGGTGATTTAATGTGTCTTAATTTGAGCTTTGTAGCAAAAAAAAAGAAAGGTGGTAAAAATCTTAACTTCAAAGTGATTAAGTGATATTTATCACTGAAAAAAAAAGAAACCTCCATCATTTAACTCTAAAAATGTGGTGGAAATGGATATAAGAGAGGGTGACTTTGCCCTGAAGCTGTGAGCTGTGTTCAGAGTTAATGTTGTGACAGGTATGTGGGGTTTAAAGTTCTCCAGAGATCCAGCATTAATAACCAATGTTACTCATTAACTCTCATTTTTGACATGTATGACACAGAAAATTGCCATCAATTTTAGACACTTGTTTTTGCACCTGAAACCAAGAAAGATTTGGGGTCAAGTCCCACTGTCTTTAAGCTTTTGCATCAAGGAAGTCCCAAGCACTCACAGCACACAGGTTGCATTGGGTTGGGGTGAGGTTTAAGGCCAAGGACAGTCCCCCTGAGGCTAGTGGGGATCTGCACGTGAAGGATGGGGACTTGGGTGCTCTCCCCAAAAGCTCAGTGCTAATTTGCTTCATAGCACACACACACACACAGAGCAGAAGGAAAAGATTGTGCTTCAGCTTCCCTTGGCTCCATTTGGCATTTCCTTGTACTCAAGGACACCTGCAGATCTCAAACCTGGATGCTCAGTATGGGGCTAACTTGAAAAGGCTGATAGTGTGCGTCGGGGCGGGTTTGGGGGGGAGGAATCAGATGTGGTAAAACAAGGGGGAATGGCTTGAACCTGCCCCAGGGGAGACTGAGATGAGCTCTTAGGCAGAAGTTCTTCCCTGTGAGGGTGCTGAGGCGCTGGCACAGGGTGCCCAGAGAAGCTGTGGCTGCCCCATCCCTGGCAGTGCTCAAGGCCAGGTTGGACACAGGGGCTTGGAGCAAGCTGCTCCAGTGGAAGGGGTCCCTGCCCGTGGCAGGGGTTGGAGCTGGAGGAGCCTTGAGCTCCCTTCCCACACAAACCACCCCGTGCTTCACGGGGCAGAGGCGGCCCGGGTGCGACGGGAGGCACCTGGATGGAGGGAGGGGCCGAGGGAGGGGCGCTCCCGGGCCGGCCCCCCCCATCCCTGCGTGGTGGCAGCGGCCCCGGTGCGGCGGGGATGCCGGTGCGGAGCGCGGCGGGCAGCGCCGGGGCTCGCCACCATGAAGAAGCATCACTCGGTGCAGGGCACCTTCAGCCGCCTCTTCGGGAAGCGCCAGCCCAGCCCCGCCGCCGCGTCCCTGTTCGCCACCAACCCGCCCTGGATCTTCACGCAGGAGGTGACCTCGGACAGCGCTGGTGGCACCGGTCAGTGTCCGCTCCTCACCTCCCGGGGCTGGGAGCGGGGCAGCTCCGTGCGCGGGGACCGGGAACGAACGGGACGGGAACGGCGGGCGCACGGAGCCGGGCTCCTCCGAGCGGGGAGTGCGCTCTGCGGGCTCCGGGGAGCCTGAGACCGGCGCCGGGCTCCGGTGGGTCCCGGCCCACCCCGGGAGGTCCAACTTGCCTAAAGCGAGCTGCTTTGGGTCCGTTTTACTGCTCCCAGCAGCTCTTTCCCACGCCGCGTTCCATCAGCGCCTCCCCGGCTTTTACTTATTTACTTTAGAAACCTGTTCCGTGCAGGGCTCTGCGCTTGGAGGGGGTTGAGGGCTGCCCCTTCCCCGGGTTTATTTGTATTTCCCTGTGGTTTTAATTGCAATACTGTGCCCTGGAGGCTTATGGAGGAGGGAGCCAAATTAACAGTCGTGGAGCCAGGTAGATAAAAGATTAGCAGGTTGTAGATGAAGTTTGGTGGCTGTAAGATTCCAACAGCTCCTTCCAAGCTTAGGAACGGCTTGGGTGCTTGCTGAGCTGTGCACTGTTGAAGTATTGTCCATTAATGCTGTTGCAAGGTGGTTACACCCTGAAGGCTGAGCTGGTGAAACTAAAGATAAAATGAAAATGGGACGGAGAGTTTCACACAGCTCTCGAGCACGAAAGGAAACGCGCTTGTTTCTACGGGCTGTAAATCTGAGGAGGATTCGAGCTTCTCTCTGATGTGGCTTGGATTTAAAAAGGAAAAAGAAAAGAAGTTGCTGTGTCTGCTTATTACCAGCCTGATTTCCGTGGCTGCAATTGCAGTACAAAGGCATTCCTCTCAGGTGTGGGGAACTGCTGTGTGGATCAGCTTCCAAAGCGAAAGCCAGCAGTCCTTGAAATCTGAGCCTATATAAAAGCTGTTGAATCACTCCTCAGCATCCCCTTGGCGTTTATATCATTAATGTTAATTTGTGGAGGGGAGAGTGACACACCGGCGCTGAGTGACCGTGCTCAGAGGAGCGTGTGCTGAGCTGTGGGCTCCTCACCAGCAACGCTGTGCTCACAGCTCCTCAGTCCAGGGCTCAGATCTTCCTGTCCCTTGGTTTCCACAGTGCCATGGCGAAGCCCCGTCGCTGTTTGTTGACTCTTTGCTGTGCAGCTTCATGCCATCGCCGCTGCCAGAAGGAGTCCGCTGCTGCTGCTGATCCCCACCTTAGCTTTTGGTACAAAGTAAACACAAGTTAAGCAATGTGGAATGGGTGTAGGTCTGCATGTCACTGACTCAGAGATTCCTGAATATAGTGACTGATGCCGCCTCCTTGCTGTGGATACCCCAGCGTCAAACCTGCTGCGCCTACTCCAGGTGATGCAACCCTCAAGGAGGGAGAAGTTCCATTGCATGCAGTGCAGATTTGCTTATTTGACTCCCCATGGCTGAGGACACAACTCCAGGACAGGTCTGAATGTCAGAAAGTGCCCCAAGTGTAGCCAAGGTAGAAGGGAGCCGCTTCCTGCGGCCTCCAAAGGCGTTTCCTGATCCCTCCTTCCAGGAAACGAGGCTGGCAGAGCACAGGTCTTGCTGGTGACAGGCTCTTAGCAGGCAAGTCCTGTTTATCTAGCAGAGGAAACACAACTACAAGCACCTCATTTGACTTTAATTAAGCGCATTCAGGTTAGGGATGCTTAGTAATCTAGGATCAAAGACCTTGTGATCTTTAATGCAGTTTCTCACTGGGTTTACCTAGCGCCTTGTTTAATATAAACTCCCATCATTTCAAGTCTCTGAACTACTCTATCACTGCTCCACCAGACTGTCTGAATCCAAACTCTCATGCTGTATTGGCCTTAATTCTTGCTGCTTACTCACTGGGTTTGGGGTCACCCCGGGCGTTATGGGACAATAATGATCATTTGATGGCATCTCTGCTGTCCTTGAGAAGCCAGCAGCTCCTCCTGTCCCCTGCTAACTCTTGGGAGGACCACACAAACTGAAGTGCTTGGTATTTTGAAAGCTAAAGAAATCCAAGGCCAGGTTGGACACAGGGGCTTGGAGCAAGCTGCTCTAGTGGAAGGGGTCCCTGCCTGTGGCAGGGGCTGGAACTGGATGGGCTTTAAGCTCCCTTCATCCCAAACCAGTCTGGGGCTCAGTGAAAATGTCCTTTATGTAAAGGATCCCTTGTAGTGGAAGGGAGAGGACATCGTGACTGACCATAAGGGCAGTGGTAGCAGGATGGGTGCTCCTGGGTGTATCCCAGGGTAACTTGTGGTGGAGTGGGTGGGAGAAAGGAGAAGCTGGCATTCCTGCTGGACGCAGTGGCAGGTTTCAAGGTTGTGTGGAATTCGTCTGCCTCCAAACTATCAATGCAGCAGAGGCTGTGGTAGCTGCGGCCCAGCCCCTGGCGTGGCCGGGTTCTTCATTCCTGGTGTTCATGCAAGTGCTTTCCATCAGCGAGACTGCTCCCAGAAGCATCTGCCCTCCTCTTTCCTCACTAAAGCTCTGTTTCCCTGTGAACTTCTTGCCCTATCTCTGCCTGTCCAAGCAGGGCAGGGATTTGGTGACACCACCAGCCAGCTCCTAAGGCAGGCAGTCCTGCTTTGGGTTTTGGGGGGCTTAGAAATGCAGCCCGGCCCCTTTGCCTCAGTGTGGAGCTTTTACAACCTCCACCTTTCTGCTCTTTGGCTTTTAATTGCTTGATACTCGACAGAAACTTTCTGTGCTTCACACTTTAGTGGAAGGATTCGCTTCCAAGCTCTTTTAGTGGGGGGAAAACCTCAGCTCTTCACTTCTTGGTGTTGCAGGGTGCAGAGGGAGGTTGGTTGCTTCTTTCCTCTCACTGAAACCCCTATGGAAGGCTGTTTGGGAGCGCTCCTGCCGTTCTCTCTCTGCTCACAGCCATTTTGCTTGTTTTCCTCCTCCTTCCCTCGTTTTCCCTTTAATGTTTGTCTCCCTGGCTACGATCTGTGTGTCTCCTTCCAGCCTAGGTGGGGTTTACGTGCTCCGGTGCTTCTGCTTGTTAATTCATGCTGTTAATCAGCCACAAAGAGCATAATTAAACTAATTTTATGAGCTTTATTCACGGTCAGAAATAAACCTGGCCCAAAAAGGTGTGGTTCAGGGTAAAAGCACAGGGCTGGGAACCTGGAGGACCTGGTGCCTTTTCCTGCTTGCAATGCTGGGGCTCTGTGGCTGCTTTCTGCCTTAGTGACTTCCTTGAGAGTAGTGTTCCGTGGGATGATGTCCAGAGCACGTCTCTGTAAGGCAGGCTGAGGTGTCAATGTGTTGTGGCAGGCACTGTTCGTCCCCTGGTACCAATTGCATGGTCAGACAGAGGTTGCTCCAGCAGCACAGCTAGGGATGCTGGTGGTGGTCAGCCACAGCAGGGAGAGCAGCTCCATCACCTCCCTCCTGCTGCCCTTGGATGATGGGACCAAAACAAGGGGAAAATCCTCCTTGGGAAGCCCCTGTGTGTCCCGGTTCCATCGCTGTGTCGGAACAGCGCAGTGAGGTGTTCCCCTCTGCTCGCCCCTTCCTGCTTGCCACAAGGCAAGGGCCAGGGACGCCTCTGCTGCCTCTGTGGTGTCATGACAGGGACCTGCTGTCATGATAGGGCTGAGAGAACCTGTAATTAACTCGGATGCAGCGGTCAGCAGGTGAGGAAGGGCAGGAGCCTCCCTCCCTCCATCTGGTGTGGTCGGGCTCTGCTGCTGCCTTCCCCCTCAATTCCAGCTGCTGATGGATTGACCAAGGTCAGATCCTGACCAAGCTTAGCACAGAACTGACTAGGCTGGAGAAGACCTTTATGGTCATCAAGTCCATGAGCTGGTCTGTGGGTGCCAGCCCTGGACCTGCTCTCCCAGGGGCCAGACCCTCGTGGCACTATGCAGTTGCTCCTGAAGCATTTTCCTTCCCTAAGCATCACCTGGGTGGGGAGTGAATTGAGTGCTTCTACTAACTTTTGACCTTCCTGAGGCACATTTCAGTCAGCTCCTGTTAGAAATAAGCCTTTCAGAATAGACCTTGACATCTGTGCTTTTTAAACTCCAGCATCTGGAGCTCTGGGAAGGCTCTTTGCCCTGCAGTGTGGGGCTGCATTGCCAGCACCTGGGACGTTTTTCCCCCCATCTTCAAAACACTTGGGTATTCCTCAGAATCTAATGGGGTTTGGCCATTCCTGGGAGCTGATACAGCAAATTCTTCACAGGAATTAAGCGGTGTCCATGTTTTTCCTGTTGCCTCAAACACAGAGCTGTGGCTGCGCATCCTAACAGTCTCCTCTTCCCCTCAGGTGATGTGATTGAAGTGTATTATGGCGACAATCGCTTTGGGACAATGACTGACTCTGGCACGGCAACGCTGAAACCACGTCCGAGAGTCCGGCCGCTGCTGACGTTCTTACCCCTTGTGAGTATCCAGCCCGGTGCTGGGGTTCACTGTGGCAGTGCCCAGAACCAGCTGGGCTGGCTGCTGCTCTCATCCTCTACCCGAGGGAAGAAAGTAAATGAAAAGCAGAACCACTCTATAATAATGCTGCTGGATTAGGAGGTGATCTGAGTTCATGGCTGTGTTGGACATAAGCAAGATGCTCAGGCATCAGGCGTAAGCATCATTAGATTTGTATTTTCAATTAAAGGTAAAATTGCTGAGCATGTAGATGATAGATCTGGCTTGCACCACGTTTTATCTCACCGCTGCTGGCAGTATCTCGCTCTGGATCACCCATGTTGCTGGAGACAGCAATAGCAAAGCTGTGCCCTGTTTACAGCAGAGGAACAAGGAGGTGATGCAGCAGGCACCTGGGCAGAGGAGGATTCTCCATCCCTGTATAAGGGAAACCACTCCCGGTGCTCCATCTGGATGCAGGGGGTGAGCAGCAAGTGCCAAAGCAGCCAGACCCAGAGGGCTTGGAGGTGGCTTTAACCCAGCTGGGATTCCAGGAGCCACATGCACTCACTGCTGGCTTCAACCCTGCTGCTGTGTGTGCAAGTACAGTGAGGTGTTGGTTGCTGAGAGATAGTCTGGAGATGGCAATAGCTAAATCTGAAGTGCAGGTCACTGGAGGTCGGTAAAGACAGTCAAACAATCAAAGCCTTTGGTCTTGACAAGGAAATTGGCTCTGACAGCAAAGGATGTTTTTCCTCCTACATCCTTGTCCTTTAGAGCAGCCACCACCTTCAGCAGAGAATGGGCTGGTTGCTGTCACCTGGGTGCCATTGGGAGTTCCTGGCGTTGTGTGGGTGTCACTGGGAGGGCAGCTTGGGGTGGGGGGTGACAACTGTCAGGAGGGGCTATTATATCCATTGGAGAGCATAATCCGGGGGTTATGGGGTTACACAGGCTCTACAAAGGGGTTGTGCCCTCTGTGATGCTTTCCCAAAGATCATAGTGAAAAACCTCACCTGGGAACTGCAAGACTGGTCCTGAGAGACTCGTCTCTAGTAGCACAGTTTGGGTGTGCGACCATAGTGGGCACCCCATCCCTCCAGGCTTCTAGAGGGCAACTGGCCCTTTGCACCTTCTTAGAGCTTTCAGATGCTATAGTAGTGGAAGTGTATGTGATAGAGGAATAAAGAGTACGTACGTCCTTGAGATACACCCTCAGGGCTGTCGCCCAAGCCGTGGTGCTTTCCTGCTGGTTCTGGGGCTTTTCTCCCCCTTATTGCTCTTGTGAGGGTCCCTCACAAACCTGTCCTTCTCTTCCAAGAGTAACAGGTTTGACTGAGGAAATCGGTAGGAATAAGAAACATTTCTGAAGGACTGGTGTGTGCTGGCTATTTGCATTATTCTGATGAGCTTTGATTAGGACTGGCACTGGCACAGGCGCTCCCACTGCCACGTCCCTGTCTGCACTGAGCCGCTCTGCAGCTCCAGCCTTAACCCTTTCTTTGCACCCACCTCCGAGGCACAGCTGTGAGTCAGGAGGATGCACACGCCCTGCCCCACAGCCTTCCTGTGCCTGGATGCTTCCCCCCAAATCACCTTCCCTTGGGCTGCTCCCGAGTCCCAGCAGGGATTGCGGGAAAGGGGGCTCTGCTGCCTGCCTCTTGGGTACCACCACATCCCCCTGCCCACCTGGCTTCCTGGGCTCTGCAGGCGCTGGCAGACCTCCTGGGGGAATAAATTCCTCTAGTTAACCCCCAAGTTCCATAGCTCTGCTTCAAAACCAGGAGTCTGGGGATAGCTCTTCACATTTGGAGATATCCTGGGGTGTCAGAGGGACCAAGGTGTCTTTTGGCTGTATATTGGTCGGTTTCTTGTAAGAGGCAGCCTTAAACCCAGTTCATTTAATGGATGAGGGACGTGGAGCTGTTGGAGTGAGTCCAGAGGAGGCCATGGAGATGCTGCGAGGGCTGGAGCAGCTCTGCTCTGGAGCCAGGCTGAGAGAGCTGGGCTGGGGCAGCCTGGAGAAGAGAAGGCTCCTGAAGGGGAGACCTGAGAGCAGCTCCAGTGCCTGAAGGGGCTGCAGGAAACCTGGAGAGGGGCTTGGGACAAGGGATGTAGGGACAGGCCAAGGGGAATGGCTTTAACCTGCCAGAGGGGAGACTGAGCTGAGCTCTTAGGCAGAAGCTCTTCCCTGTGAGGGTGCTGAGGCGCTGGCACAGGGTGCCCAGAGAAGCTGTGGCTGCCCCATCCCTGGCAGTGCTCAAGGCCAGGTTGAACACAGGGGCTTGGAGCAAGCTGCTCCAGTGGAAGGGGTCCCTGCCCGTGGCAGGGGTTGGAGCTGGAGGAGTTTAAGGTCCCTTCAACACAAACAAGTCTGGGATTCTATGGGAATCGTGGACTCCTGAGAGACTGGGGACCACGAGGACAGGCAGGTCCCCTTCGCTAGAACAGGGGGGTTCTGGCTGTGTTCCCGCACTGAACAGCGATTCCTGGTGGTTGCAGTGAAAGCTCCCCCGCCGGGATCCCCCGCACAGGAATCTGATCCAGGTACCGCAAACTGGAAATGCTGGTTCCTGGCGCACCGCTCCCCCCAGCCCTGCTCTGAATCAGCTGGAGCTTTGCTGGGCTGGGCACACCCCGAGCGAGCGCGGCAGAGGGAAGCGATCTCCCGGTGCATCTCTGGAGCCTGGCAGCCTATGGAGATGCTTTCCATTTCAGAGGGCAGCTCATGACGTGGGGATGGGAGGGTTTGGGGAGATGCTGAGCATTCGCAACTGCTGCAGAAACTCTCGGTGTGAGACAGGCTCGCCCAGTCCTGAGGCCCTGCTGAAATGACACGTCTGAAATCGCTGCTCCTTTCTGTGGACTGTTTCCTCCAGCTTTGCATAGATCTCTTCCGACTGCCATTCCCTCTCTGCTCCTACCCAAACATGTGATGCGTATGGTGCTTGGAAAGCGGGGCTCAGACATCTTTGTTTCCCTGCAAATGAGCAGATCTCCGTGTGCTCTGCAGGCTGGCAGCAATACATTTCCGTAGCAAATGGGAACTGCTGGAGCTGGTTTAGATTCTCCTCTTTGTGGTTGTTTCCTCATTGCTCTGGACAATTCCATTATCGGCCCTTGAAGTGCCTCTGTTAGTCTTTGTCTTCCCTCTGGCTTCCAGCTGAAGTTAAGGATCTTTCCTTGTACGTATCATCGGGAGCACTAAAGAGGTCTCAGCTGAGGCTACAGGGCTCACCTAGTCTGTTGTTTTACCACAAACAGAGCTGTCCTAATGCCTTAGCAAACCTCGCCTTCTCCATCAGCATGAAGTTGTCCGTTCGGTTGCGCAACCACAGGAATGTGAATTTCCACTCGCTCTCTCTTGGCTTGCCAATAACCGGTTCATTATTCAGAAGGGATCTTTGTGGTTATAGAGGATCCTTGGTCCATCTGATGGCCTTTGCAAGTGAAACCTGTACTTCCTTATTGCTTTGTCAAAAGCTCTCTGCGGGAGCCCAGGCTGCTGCTTCTCAAGTCAGCTCTGCCCCAGCAGCTCCCCTCTTCCTCATTCCCCATGCCCAGGGCAGTGTGTGATGCTAATGCACTGTCTGCACCCTGGATGGGGCTGGCTGTATAAACCCAGTTTAACCTTTGATCAAGGAGACTTTGGAATCCCGTAGCAATCTCCTGTAGAAATAGCGATAATACCAGTGAAAGGCAAAGGGCACGGCTCAATCATTATCTAGGCTTTTGTATGCAGAACACCACTGCGCTGGTGCAGGCTGATGGCAGGATAATGGGCTGTTAACAGCTAATGCAAACACCTGCCCCAGGTAAGTAGGAGTGCAAGAGGGTGGACCCTGGAGCCGGGGAATGGGACGGTGTGTCCCTGACCATTGCCCATGGGGTCTGCAAGCTTCTGCTGCTCATGGTGTTGTTTCTGTGCTATGGGTCTCTCCCAGTGCTGGTATGTGGAAGTCCAGGCCACTGCCTCCGTCACAGCCTGATTCAGCATCAGTTTGTGTTCAGGACACGTTAATGTAGGTGTGATGAGCAGCTGCAATCTCCCTGCAGTGAGTCAGTGGAGGGAAGGAGAGGCTTTCTGCTCCTGGTAGGTGTACAGGAGCCCTGGTCAGCACTGCAGGTGAGTCAGTGTGCCATGAATATCTCATGGCGGGTGGCTGTAATTACACAAAGCATCCTCGCAGATGTGTAGGCTGCTAAATTGCATGGTCCTTTACCAGCTAAAGGCACTGCTGAGTGTTCAGCATGAATGCGAAGGGAGTAACTGAGAGTGAAACACAAACCACACAAGCAGCAGTTTTCCTCAGTGTTCACATCTGCTGTTTCCCAAAAAGCTGGAAGTCTGCCTGTGACTTTAGGGTGGTGTGTACCTGACTGTGGTGCGAGCTGGCAGTGCTTGGTGGGGAGCAATGCCCACAAAACCCGTGCTTCGATGTGAATGGTGAGGAACGGATGCTGGGGAGCCCTAAATGTGGATGTGAAATAGCCATGCGCCTCTCCAGCCCCTCCTCGCCTGACCAGCACAGGGGGATTGTTTCTGTGGCTTGTGCAACCTTTATTGTTCATCCATTTAAGCCCTATAACTCCATGTCTTGGAAACAGCCCTGCATCCCATCAGGTTCCTGTTTGTGTAGACAAATTACCAGTTATACAGGCTAGGGCCTGTGCTCTGATACCCTGGGCATAAACCTAACAGCTCCTTCTTCTCAACTACTGCAGAATGCCCAGGAATCCCATGGGGTGGCTGTGCCAACGCCGTCAGTGCCGGAAGACTTTGAGGAAAAACCAGCTCTTGGTAAGGGATCTTCTCTGCTGAGTCCTGGGTGGTACTAAGTGCTCAGCAGCACCGTGCCCTTGGGGAAGGAAGGATGCGGGTACCAAGCTCTGGAGCAGACAGTGTGATCATGGGATTTTCGTGCTAAAACAGAGTCTACTATTAATTTGGTTTTGAAGTCATTGAAAATGAATTCATTTCTAAGGGGTGAGGTGTAGTGGCTGTTACAGTGCTGCCAGCTTCAAAGAGCTGCTCAGCAATATAAACTGCCTTGCTAGGAGGATAGCTGGCCAGAGGCGATGCTGGCCACCACTGCACTGATGGAGAAGGTGCTCATGCTGCCGTGCTCTCACTCTTCCTTGCAGGATCTGGCTCCCAGGTCAATGGGAACTACCGAATGTACAGCTCGGTGGGGGACCTGCGCCCGCAGGCTCTCGATGGGGATGACCTGGATGAAGACATCCCTCCGCCGCCATCGGTGCCCCCACCACCCCCTCCAACAGCACCGGCACCCACACCACCAGCCTCGCCGGTCCCTCCGCCACCCGAAATGCTGCCCCCACCACCACCGCCTGAGGTGGTGCCACCACCTCCTGCCATGGCAGCTCCGCCACCTCCATCCTCCGCCTTGTCCTCGCCCAGCACACCGGCTCCTCCGGACTTCATCCCGCCAGCCCCACCGGGAGCTCCTCCGCTCAACCGGGCCCCGGCTCCCTTCACCACCGGCATCTCCAAGTGGAAGTCCGAGACAGTGCTGAACACAAGGCAGGCGGATGCTGAGGGTCCGCTTTGCCCTGCCGAGCCTGGGGTCCCTGCTGCCCCTGGCCCAAAGGAGAGCCTGCAGCCCAAGCACTGTCCCGAGCCTCACCTCACCTTCCCCAGGTCCTTCAAGGTGCCTCCGCCAGCCCCAGCCCGGTCTTCCTCCATCCCGGTGCAGGAGAACCAGCCCATGGGGCAGGAGCCCTTCCCCAGGCAGCCCCATGCCCGGCCCCCCCTCCCTCCCTGCTTCACCATCAGACCCGCAGCCAAGGCTTACGCAGGAGAAGCTGAGCAAAGGAATTCCCCATTGCGACAGGGCATCACTAAGCCAACACCCCCACCACTGAGCCCCAAGCCGGGTGCAGGGCTCAGCCGAGGGGTGAATCCTGCTGGTCACCAGTCCCCGCAGCCAGGCTCCGAGGTGGAGAAGGTTCCCCAGCCAAAAACAGCCGAGAAAGACTCTCCTCCTCCAAACCCTGAACCCCTCACTGCCAACGACCTGGACCTCCCTCCTCCGGACTACCCGACCGCTGAGGATGACTGGAGGGATGCTGGCAACCTGAGCAGGCTGCGGCACGAGCTCTCTGCCCTCCTGCGCTCCCCACGGAGGGAGGAGAAGCCAGCGGAGAAGCCGGCTGCTCCCCAGCCCGTGGATGCTGGTACCAACCACACCAGCAGCCATGAACCCAGCCTCAGTGTGCCCCAACCTGCAGGGAAGGATGTGCAGTTACCCATAGAAGGGAAGAGTGAGAAGAAAGAGGTGCCCAGCAGCATCCCCATTGCCAATGGTGGCTCTCCCAGCACGGTGCTCCCCGCTCCGGACAGCGGCTCCACTGCACAGCCCCGCAGCGTGATGAAGATCAGGAATGAGCTGGAGGCTGTGCTGTCCCTGAAGAAAGAAGGGAAACCTGCTGTGGGGCTCAGCAGCCAGAAACAGGGCTCCGAGGATGGTGGCAGCACCCCACGTATGAGGAAGAGCCCTCCTGACCTGAGGAAGAGCCCTCCTGACCCAGGTGAACCAGTGCTGCCAAAACCAGCCCCAAGCCTGCTCCCAGCACCAGCGGCTGCAGTGGAGAAGGATGAGCCAGGGCACGAGGACCATCCTGCTCATGCCACAAGCAAGCCCACAGAGAACTCGACCCCTTCTCCCGAGCCCCTCAACGTCAGTGTGAGCCCCCCAGACCCAGCTCAAGGCACTGTGGAGGAGCCCCCTGCTCCCACCTCGCCATCACCCCCTGTTTCTCCTGCACAGAGCTCAGCACCGCAGCCCGATGCGCCCATCTTCCAGTACAAGGTGCACAGGGCTGGGGCCAGCTCAGCAGAGCCACCCTGTGCCTCGAGCCCGGCTGAACCACCCGGCCCCATGGGCTTGTCCAGGAGCCCCTCGGGAGCAGGGCAAGAGGAGGAGCTGATCCACCCGGTGACGGGGGAACGCGTGGAGCCGGGGTCCCCCATGGCTCTGCTGCTGGCAGCCCGGCAGCGCGCCCAGCGGGGCCGGCAGGGGGGTGAGGTGGGAGCCGTGCCCCGGGCCAAGCTGCCCCTGAAACCCAGCAGTGCCTTGTCAGACACCGCCTCCACCAGCTTCTACCGCCACGAATCCAAGCCTGGCTCCTTCACCGTGGTGCCCCGGCCGCCTGCGGTGGGAACAGCGGGGTCGGGATGGAGCAGACCTCCATCCTTCTCCAGCTCCTCGGAGCAGGGCCGGGATACACGCGCCGCGGGTGATGCACAGCCCATGAGCATCCCCGGGCACCGGCGGGCTGATGCTTCCAGCCTCCTGCGAGGTCTCCTTGAGCCAGGGCAGCCGAAACAGCCCATCCCGGCCCGCCGCGGTGTGCACAGGGAGGAGGAGAACGGGGAGGCGGTGCTGGACTATGGGATTATCCCACCACCCCCTGAATTCAGCAACGAGGCGGATGAGACCGAGGGGCCTCTCCCGAGTCGGGAGGAGAACCGCAAGTGCCCCAGCTTCCCCGACAGCAGCCGGGGCTCGGAGCCCCCGCGGTATTTCAGGTGGCCCGGCTACGGCCGCAACTATGGGGGCAACCCCGAGCCCCCAGCCCTGGAGCCGAGCAGGAGGAGCAGCGACTTGGTGCCGCAGTACCCGGACTACAGCAGCTCTGCCGGGTACAGCAGCCGCTGCCCGAACCCGCGCCCGCTCATCAAGAAGCGCCTTTATGTCTCCGAGCCCGACAGCTCCTACCCCCGGGCTGCTGCACCCCCCCGTGCCTCGGGCACCCTCTCCTCCTATGGCCCCGGGGGTTACAGCTCCTCGGCTGGGGACAACGGCCGCCGCCTCAGCTCCGGCCATAGGAACGGCCCCACAAGTGCCCAGGGCCGGAGGACGTCCCTTGATGGCGCTGGGAAAGCGGCTCCGTACGGCAGCGCCGATGCCAAGTACAAGGGGCAGAATGGGGATTTCTCACCCCCCAGCGCGGTGGCAGCCCCCAGGTACGTGCAGCCCTGAGCTGGCGCCTTCCCGTGTCCCTTTGGTTTGAGGGAGGGGAGGGATGGGAAGGAGAGGGCAGGGATAAGGCACTGCCCTTTGGCTCATGTGGTGCCACCTGATGCCTGGCTATGCCTGCTCCTCATCTCCTGCCCCCTCAGTCCAGGACCGTGGATGCCGCACTGGTCCCAGCCATAGTGATGGCTCTCTCCGCCTCGTGCCACTGAATGGAGACAAACGGTGACAAAAGCCACCCTGCTCCACTAGATAAAAGAATATATAATTGCAATATTGAATAAACCCAAAGGGTTTCCTTGGATTTCGATGACTTTCCCTCTGCTTTCCCTCCAGACCTCTCCATGGCACCTCACAGTACAGTGGACCTACCAACACCTTCACGGTGAGGCCTGGCGCTCGGCAGCCCATCTCCTACACCTACCAGAGCGGGCACCGATAGGCTTGTCCTCAGGGCTGCTCTGCCACCTTCATCCGGCTGGGAAGCGAGAAGAAGGCATCTCACTTGGTCGTCTGCTTCCCTTTGGGCACCAGGGATGGTCCCAACCCAGCCTGGCAAGCGCACTGCTTGAAACCACTGATGGAGAAGGTGGGGAGTGAACCTGGGACTTGGACTCTTCTTGGATGACTGTCATGGAGAGTAGTTACTACAGAGGACAGGCTGCTGTCTCGTTACGTGAGCAAACATGGTTTTTCTTCTCCTATTTTCCCCCAAATGTATTCCTTTCAAAACTGCAGACTGATAGGTCTTCTAAGAAAGCCAGAAAGTATCCTTAGTTCTCTTTAAAGAGCATCACCACTGGAGAGATGGTTTTCAGTTGGGTTTTTCAGTTGGTTTAAATCAAAATGCTCAGGAAAAGAGAGAAACCAAGTGGGAGATGTGCCAAATGGAAGCAAGCTAAATGTAAGGGAATTAAAGTAAGAACGCGAGGCCGATTGGATGGAAATGGAGTTTAGGATGTCTACATCCCAACCTCTTCTGTCCCTACCTCCTACAAAAGCCTTAAGCAAATCAATTACTCCAGTGCCTTAAAACCAGCTCCTGTCTTTCAGTGCCTGTCCTGCTGAGCCAGGGACATCTCTGCCCTCGAGATCTGAGCCCCCTTCCCCAGGGAGCAGCTTTGGGAGCATGGGCCCTTGCTTTCCGATGCCTTTTGGTCACTAAGTGTTTCTGTTGGGGATTGTTCGTCATGGAGGAAGGCTGTTCCTCATGGATGGATGCCTGTAAAGCACTTTGGAGGCTTAAAACCTTGAGCAGTCCTTTTCCTTTATCAGCTGGTGGGTGTCAGTGACCCACCAAGGTGCTGTGCTGGTGGTGCTTTCCTCGAGGGGTCTCTTGCCACTTCATCCCCATGTAAACCCCACCTCTAAAAGCTAAGCCATAGAGTCCTTCTAAACTGTTATACTGAGACTTGGCTTTGGTTTGTCTGAGTTGGGGGACGAAGAAGGCTAAATTTCAGTGTAATCGTAGAGTGTTCGATGCTCCTGGTGTGTGGAATGCCTGCAGTGACACCTAAGGGAGCTGGTTTCCCTAAGTGCTTGTCTGGGTGCTGGGTGCAAGCCTGCCTGCTCTTCCTGCCAGTGCCTTCAGTGATGGTTAAGTCGTGGGGTGAGAGATATGAGTAGCCTTAAAGAGTATAAAACACTACAGAGTGAGAAATGCAGCCTCATAAGAGACCAAAGTGTTCAATCCCAACTTCCCGAAACCAGAAAGCGAGGAGCTTCCTTCCAAATAAACTTGCTGAGAATCATTGTAAGATAAGTGTAAAAACTTGTAGAGAATGTTTTCTAATCACTGACAGACTAAAAGCACTTTGAGACATGAGTCTACCTTTATGGAAAGCACTTTCTCCTTTCAATCCTATCAATACCATTAGTACCACTCCGGCAAAGCCTGCGTTGCACACTCCTGTGTCTGTGGGCCTGGAAGCAGATTTTGTTCTCCGATTCAACTCCAAAACTCAGTGATGCGTTTTCCCTCGGGGTGGAGTTACCGCAAGAGTTATCTCGATAGCAGTGCCACGTCGTTGATGTTCTCTGGTTCATGTTCTTTCCAACTTCACCTAACAATTGATCGGCTGTTTCGAGCATTGCAGCAGCCGCCGAGTATTCTGAACTTGCCTTTGCTGTGAATAAAATGAGAATGCAACTACCACAATGGGTCTAACAGCTAATTCAAATGGCATTTCTATGCCGGTGAATGGCAGAGACTTGGAAGGATTCCAGACGTGCTCACCGCAGCCGGTATTGAAAGAACACGTTTTAAACATCTGGGTGTTGGTCTTTAGCAAATGTTTATGGAGCAAAGCGACTATGGAGTAACACGCTGGGTATTTAGGTGTGCCAGTGCCATGCAGAGTAGCCCTCCCTCTTAAAACACTGAAGCTTCTCCATGGGAGGAGTATCTGGAGGATTCTTACTGCAGAAGTGAAGCCATGACCCTCTTTGGGTGGCTTTGGGGTCATGGTTTAGTGTTGGATGAAGTTGAACTTGAACCAAACCGAAGAAGCCTTCCTGATAATGTTGCAACCTGATTGTTTCCCCCTTCCTGATATCGTTTTCCCAAAATACGAAGTTATAACTGCAAATGAGTTCTCAAAAGCAGTTTTAAACGTAAAGGTTTGCTGGGAGACATCAGCCTTCAACATTGACTTTGCCCTGAAATGGGGGGTGGCTGTATGAGCGATTTTTCCCCCAAGAACTCTCCTAAATTATAGTGTATCCCCAACACGAGAGTGTTTTCTTCTTAGGGCAAAATGTGGAACTCCACTGGTAGCACTTGCTTTGAGTTTCACATTTACTGTTTCACCTAGACATGCAATTCCTAGGTACTTGTAAGATGGTGTTATACAGCGTGGAGTGTCTTGTTTCTAGCTGTGTATGTGTTCATATTTAATATTAGAAGCATGATAATGTCAGCTCTATGAAACAGCCGTCACTCATTCCCCTGCTGGGAATGCACAGTGGACTTAAGCTGTAAGTAAATCAGGTAGGACATGCTCGCAGTTGTAAAACTGGTTAGCATGCATGTTTTAAGCAGTGGAACGCTTCTATTCTTTAAACACTTCGGGCTCTCCCTGCTCCTTCTGAATGCATTAAGCACAAGCCTCAGATTTCAGCAACAACCACGTTTATGCTGGGGCCACTGGGAGCTGTTTGGGGTACAAAGAAACCACTGTCAGAGCTGTTGGCAGCCGGAGCACTTACGGATGAAGCAAGGGCCTCTCAGCTGCAGGGATGGGAAGAGCCCCCTTCTTCCTCTGTCAGGTAACTGTGTCAGGACAGCACATAGATGTGCCCTGATTCCTGTTGCTGCTCCTCCTCAGCTCTGTTTCACTATATGAATTTAGCAATAGAAGAGGAAGAAACTAAGGGGAATAGTGATGGAGCCCAGCAACCAACCTTATAGCCCAGTTTGAAGCCTGACGATGGGATGATTCTCACTTCAACCCTCTCTGGTGCAGTTTGGTCATTCAAGCCTTGATGCAACTTAAATTACCCCCTGCAGCTGCTTCTTCCTCAAAGGTACCTGCTAATGTAGTATAACTGAGAGCTTTACTTGTAAAGTGTTGAACAAAGTCTCTTATTTATGAGTGCCATTGAACACCAACTTTCTTGCATTAAATATGTCTGGACGTATTGTTTTATGATGTGTGGTCTGGCTTCTTTTAGCATTGCTTAAGTGGTCCGTCTGCTGTAAGACTGTCATCTTTTGCATGGAAGATTAAAAGGACAGGGAAATGCAGCTCAAACCGGCCTCAGCAACAGTCTGAGTTTCAGCTTATATAGGGCTGGGTCCAATTTCTCCTCACCTGCTATAAACCCTGTGGCAATTTGAAGTGTTTTTAAGAAGTGAAGGAGTGAACGGGCACCAAGCCCTGAGTGCCCCATCACTGCAACCACCCCTCGCATCCAGCTGGTTAGGCAGGCTGGCGGAGGAGCTTGTGCAGTTCAGCCTGTGCTGCTTCTATAAATAGTCCTTGGGTTGGGGCTTTTCATCAGGAATGGAACTGGCATGCTTATTTGCAAGTCCTAACTCGAATGTTGCACTTCCAATTGAAAACGTGGTGTGAGCAATGCGAGCAGCAACATAAAAGGCAGGCTTGTCTTCGGTGGCTTATTCCTCTGAATTACAGCTATTTGCATGCTCTGGCTACAGAACCAGGCTCTTCATGAGGGGAGCGTGCAATGTTTGAAGCTTTCACTCCAGCCACAGTGTATTTACACAAGTGTCCCCCAACCTGAACCGTGTGGAGTGCAGGCACAGGGCGAGAATACCACAAACCCCATGGGATCTGCTCCATTCCGTAGCCACCAAGTCAACAGGTACTGCTGTGGGACCACTGGTGGCTGTGCCTGCATGCGGGTGCGACTGTTCAATGCAGCCTTGCTAGCACCAGGGCAGCTAGGAGCCAAGCCAACGCAACACGAGGGACTCCTAGATACACTGTCATCCCTCTGTGCTTCTTATGATGGCAAAAAAAAACCAAATATAAGTGGTAAAGCTCAAGAAATAGACACTCCAATTGGGGGGGAAGCTGCTGTGCCCTTCAAGCTGGCAGCTGCTGCCCTCCTGTGGCAGAACATAAAGCTTCACCCAAAGATATGACAAGATGCTGAAGCATTTCTATTTTGTTGTGCTGCTAGAAGTCTCTAAGCCATTGCAAAAGCAGGAATAATATATCAATAATGCCCTGTTGTCCATATAGGCTTCACTGTCCATTATGTGTTTTGCTCACCGGGTGGTGATGGGAGGAACTTACCATGGTTTAATACTTGACAGTTTTAACTTCTCAATGGAAAACCCGCTCCAGGTTTTGGAAAGAGAAGCTTCCTGCAAACAAGCAGGGCTTCCAGCCTGCCTTGCCCTAGGGCTGAAGAATCATAGTACCCTGGCATCAAACAGTGATACGGTGTACGTTTATTTAAGAACAGTTTTAATCTCGGCAATCGGAATCACAACTTTTAACTGTGTGCATGATCTCGGCTGGTTCTTTACTACAGAAGTGGCCTGGAGAAGCTTATACCCACTTACAAATGAAAACTACGATTGAGTTGAAAACCGTCTTCCATCCCCACCCCCCCAGACAATGTTTTCACAAGCAGCACAAGACCTGTTGCAGTTCTCAGCACACCACTGGAGGTCCATAACAGGTAATGGTTTTGGTTGGACTTTGGAGGAAACTTGTCAGTTTTTAGCAAAGCTTTTTTACCTTTCCCATCCACTGTTCTAGAGTAGGAAGTTTTGCTCTGTCAGCACCTGTAGGATGTGGGAATTCAAGCAGCAAATGTGGTTAAAAAGAGAAAGTATGGAGGCTGGGAAAGCTTAGTCTGCCTCAAAGTTAAGCCTGTGTTTATGCAGGGTTAAGCCCAGTGGAAATGGTGTGTTAGTGTTGCTATCGTGCTAAAGAAACAGGAGTAGCATTCATTCCAATGGGATTTCTCGTTTCAGTAGTCAGGACCTGCTTTATTCTGTCTAGGAAATACTCAGCCAGACCAAGCCGTATCTCGAGCAGTGGCAAAGCATGCAGAGCAATGATCTGGTTTTCAGTTAAATACGTTCCAGGGCAACAGTTGAGTTTGTTTGAGAAGTATGTGTCATACCACAAAAAACACCCTAAGGATTCTGTGGAGTCTGCTTCGGTGATTACGGAATGTCACCGGCACAAGGAGTCACAAGTGTGTAAGGAGTTATCATTTATCACTAAGCAGAGCCTGTTTATAGGAGCAAGCAAATGAAAACTGAAGTCATTAATCCAGTTTTTCCCTTAAATTAACTTTTGCTCACAGGTCTTATCTCTGAGGAAGTTGTCTTCAGCACAGAGGAGATGAAACATGGTGTCAAACAGCCTTAGCAACTAACTTCTCTTGGCTTTCAGCATGCTACAGTAATGGCCCTTTGAGCTGCTCCGCCAACGCTGATCACAGGTCCCAGTATTTCAGCCTGTCATGCACTGTCACAAAGGTGTGTAACTGCAGGGCCACAGCTGGGATCCTGATCATACACAGCTCCTCACACCAAGCACTGTCATTCCAATACCTGCATTTAAACAGTGCTCACCACAGGATCCACACTAGCAGATATTGATGACCAACCTCTAAAACACACGCTGCGTTAAGGACAAGTGTCTTTCAATGCCAACACATCTTCCCATTTAATTGGAAAACTTGATTTACACAGCAAAGAACTTTGCTCAAGGATGAGGCTCTTGCCCTTGTTGTTTTTAATCTTCCCACCCCAATGTTTCTATAAACTCCATGGATGGTTTGGAGAACTGAGGGAGGAATTGAGAGCCTTCATTTTTAATTATACGCAATTCTCTGTCTTCCCAAGTCTCCTCTGTGCCTGAAGTCAATTTTTCTCTGGATAAAATACTGAAGTCTTATCACAGGTGAAGTGAGCTCCCAGGGAGAGGGTAAAGCTTGGCTTGTAACTAACTTATGCCTAACTCAAAATTACTACAGGAACCTCCTTAGTCACAAGCTTCAAGGCAGACAACAGCCTCTACCGTGAACTCCAGTTCACACCCCCTTGACTTCAGCAGAATCAAAGTAGTGCCAGGAAGGAATTTGGACCATGAGTTTATAAAACTATTCCTTTACACAGTTGACTCCAGAAGCTTCAGCAGTCGGTATGGGGACAGTGTGATGTAAAACCTGATGATCCCATCCAACTGTAGTGAGCAAGGCATTGTCTGAAGGAGACCATGATAAGCCTTTCACAAAGTCTTGATGAGAACGGCTTCTGAACCTGCAAAACATGAACACTCCATCAGCCATAAAGCATGGTCACTAAGAGGGTTAGGGGCTTGTGCAATGCTTAACTGCGAGTTTGGTGGGATGATGCTCGCCTGTTTGAGGAGCATCTTCATCTTCCACCCAGCATATGGGTAAATAATTAACTTCAGGAGAAGTTAACAAGGCAAACAGCCACAGTAATGAATACATTCTGCCTAGTACTTACACCTCTGAGAGGTCTGAATCAAGAACAGCTACTGAACAGTCTTCACTGATTGAAGCCAGTAAGGGTGAACTAGAGGAGAGAGATGAGACCACTGTTAGAACAAGCAAATACAGGAAAGCTTCTTAGGGACAGACTTGTGACAAGCACGCTTGTTATGGTGCTAAATCTTACAGAATGTTTTCATCATCATATGGCAAGCTGTCAGCACACTAAGCAAGAATATTAGCGTCAGAAAGCAAGTAATCCCTCAAGCAATGGTGACTGTAATTAGAAAGATCCCCATAGGGAGTGGGTCAGTAATTCTGACTGCTGCAGGAGTGTTCTCATGATGTTGACACATCTCTTTTCAAAAGGCAAGAACACTGTTTGGCTCACTTTGCTCTTCTCTATTGATTTCTCAAAGACAAAACCTGGTGGTTTTAAAATAGGTTTCAAAACAAATAAGGCTCCCAAGTGTATGCAGTCACACATCCTATGCCAGTAGATCAGACTGTACCTATGTGTAGAAAACGCAAACCCCGTGATATTTCGGGCATGCACAGTGGAGCTGAGGGCAGAATCAGGGTTCTTTGTGTCTACGAGTGCAACTGTTCCATTTTCATCACCTTCAAGAGAGGAAAAGAGAACAAAGTTATTAGCAAAATCGTCACGTGAAAAGAAAGACCTTGATTTGTGTGCTGCAAGGCAAGTAAGGAGATCACTTCTTACCCAGAGCAAAGATGTCACTTTTGTGTGGATGCCACATGACTGAGGTAGGGAGGTGATTACAGGCACTGCAAACTGCGAGTAAATAAATCGGGATGTGTGTGAACAGAGGCAGCACAAAGATACTCCTACACTACCTCATTTAGCACTGCTACTGCACTGAAACAAAGACTTTAAAGCTTGCTGCACTTGCATGGTGCTAGATGTCTTTAGGTTTTAATAGGCTTTTCCAGGCAAACGCCACATTGCTAGGTTTGAAGTCAGGCACAAAATGACTTATTTCCTCTAACAAAAAGTCATACACAAAGCAGTGACTGCAGGCAGAAACGTACCAATTCGAGTAGCTGGTTTGGGGCATCTGGTGTCCCAGAGTAAAGTTCTGTTGTCCTATAAATCCAAAGTGAATGAGAAAGATTTTACAATCCCTTTGTGGCAGGGGCTAGACATAAACTCAGATTCACTGCAGAACTGCTACTGAGCCGCATTCCAAACCACACCACCGCTTCCAAAAGGATGCTGCCATTAACTTCAAGCTAGCTCCTCCAGTGATCCAAAGGAGCTCCCACATTTTAATACAAACCTGTAGAAATCAGCCTGGTGAGCTGATTGTCAGCTCATTGACTAGAACACTAAAATAACACAGCTATGCAGTTTGTGACACAGTAGGTGGTTTCTTGGGAAGTGCATTTAACTGCAACTAAAGTTAAATCTTACTTTTATCAGGTAGATTTAGACAGAGAGTGAGCTTTACCTCCGCACAGGACAGGAACATGGTGTCCTTACCAGGACAGGAAGCCACACATGTCACCGCATCGGAGTGAGCTACCAAAATCACAAAGAATAAAGAGCCTCAAAGATTGTACCCAGCCTTCCCACACACTCCCAAGGACCTCTGAAAGCACAGCACCGTGATAAAGACCAGCTTATGCCTAAACACAGGGTAACTTCTGCTCAGCAATAGCCGAGTCTTCCCACCAAACTGATGAACTGCCAAATCCAACCCGAGCTGCTGCAAAGTCCCTGTAAGCTGCATAAGCTTGAGGAAGCCCCCTCAGACAAGAGGTCAGTTACAAAGTGGGGAGAGGATCAATCAAAGCTCAGTCTCTGCTGTCAGCAGACAGCACAATCCTGATCTGATCTCTCTCCAGAGATCAGCATCTGGAACGGGCTGTTCAACCCCAAACACAGGTTAGGAGATCACACACCAGCACAAGCAAGATTTCAGTACAGAAGAAACACTCTATGCTTAGAGCTGCAAGGCAAACTAAGCCTTACAGCATTCATCCCATGGGGAAAAGGAACAAGAGACAAAGAAACAAATCGGTGCCAGAGACTTCTCAGACTGGCAAGCATTAGATCACAAGCCCCAAGCGAGACAGGCAGGAAGAAGCTCAGCCTGCAGCAACCAGCACGCTGGTGGCACTCACCTCTGTAGGAGTGCAGCACCGTCTGCTGCGGGAGGTCCCAGACCTTCACGCTGTGGACAAGAGCAAGCGCTCAGCACCCAGCGCCCGGCCCTCGGCGCAGGGCAGGCGGGCTGGGGACACTCACCAGAAGTCCCTGCCACCGCTGACAACGTGGGTGCTGCCGGCCAGGACGGCCACCGTCATCACGATGTCATCGTGCTCGTATTTACAGAACTTGTTGACGATGAGGGTTTCCTTCTCATCCAGCTCCCAGAGCTCCACGGCGCCTATGGGGAGGGACCCACCTCAGCGAGAAGGGAACCACCTTAGGATGGAGGGCAAGGGGGGGGGTACCACCGGGATCCCGGGTGCTTACCGGAGTCGGAGGCCACCAGGATGCCCCTGTCAGCCACCCAGCACAGGTCGGCGACACCCGCTTCGGTCTGGACGCCGGCGGTGCAGAAACCCTCGCTGGGGGCACGGCGCGGGTCGGCGAACACCCAGAGGGAACCGGCCCAGCAGCGCCCGTTCAGTCCCGAGGCGCCCAGCAACAGGGCCCCGTCTGGGAGAGAGGCAAAGGAAGCGGGGAAGGACGAGGGCAAGGATCCGCTCAGCGCCCGCCGCCGCTCCTCGGGAGACCGAGCGGTCCCCCCCGCCCCGACCCCGCTGCCCATCCCCGGGCCGCGGCCCCGCTACCTGCGCGGTAGTGCGCGCCCTCCAGGTGCCGCTCCATGCAGGCGGGCGCGTTGGGAGGGATGTTCCACTCGGGGCCGGCCGCAGCCTCCGCAGCCTCCTGCTCAGCAGCCGGGGGCTGCTCGGGCGGCGGCTCCTCCATGGCGGCACCGGGATCGGGACGGGGACCGGGATCGGGATGGGGATCGGGACCGGGACCGGGACCGGGATCGGGATCGGGATCGGGATCGGGATCGGGATCGGGATCGGGATCGGGACCGGGACCGGGATCGGGATGGGGATCGGGACCGGGACCGGGATCGGAGCCGAGCGGCGCCCCCACGTGCTCCCGCGCCGCGCGCGCGCCGCCTCCTCCTCTCGCGAGAGCTCGTTCCCCCCACCCCGCTCAGTCTCGCGAGGCGTTTGCCGCCGCCATCTTGTCGCTGAGGCGGCCGGCGGTCACCGGTTGGGGACGAAGTGGGTTGGAGGGGTTGTGGGCCCGGTGCCGGTCGCTATGCTGTCCCGCCTCGTCCTCCGCGCCGGTGAGCCGGGCGGGAGCGCTGTCCCTATGGGGTGTAGGGCGGCGGGCTGGGCTGAGGGGGAGCATCCTGCATGAGCTTTCTCCTGACCCGCTTCTCTGCCCTTCTTCCCCCCTCAGCCCCGGCCGCGCTGAGGAGCCTGCCGCCTCCCGTCACCGTGGGGTGAGTACCTGGGGCTGGGGGCGGCAGCGGGGCCGCGCTGAGGGCTTTGACCTCCGAGCGAGGCCTAACGGCGCTTCCGGTGCGCTGCGCGGCCCGGCTTCGCTGCCGACCCCTTGAGGCGTTGGCAGCTTGGGGAGGACGGGGAGCGCCTCGGAAGGCGCCGCTCGTTGGGTTTAAATAACGTTAGTTTGGGGCTTTCACTTTATTTTTCTAATAGTAACTTGTTAACGGTGGGAAGGATCCTCTGGAGGTTATGTAGTCCCACCCACTTCCTCAAAGGAGGCGTGTCTGGTGGATGCTTTCCCTATTTGATGGGAGATGTGTTTGACCCGCACCTAAGGGTAGTGGTTTTCATAGAATCATAGAATTGGGTTAGAAAAGACACTAATATCATCCAGTTCCAACCCGTGCCACGGGCAGGGACACCTTCCACTAGAGCAGCTTGCTCCTCTAAGCCCTTTCCAACCTGGTCTTGAACACTGCCAGGGATGGGGCAGCCATGGCTTTCTCTGGGCACCCTGTGCCAGCGCCTCAGCACATTCACGGGGAAGATCTGCTTCTTTATACCCAATCTGAATCTCCTGTTTAAACCTAAACCCATCACCCCATGTTCTATCACTCCAGTCCCTAATGAAGAGCCCCTCTCCAGCATCCTTGTAGCCGCCTTCAGACACTGGAAGCTGCTCTGAGGTCTCCGCACAGCTTCTCTTCTTCAGGCTGAACAGCCCCAATGTTCTCAGCTATGGGAGGTGCTCCAGCCCCTGATCATCCCTGTGGACCTTTCCCTGGACTTGTTCCAACAGTTCCATGCCCTTATGTTAGGGACACTGGAGCTGTACGCAGTACTGCAGGTGGGGTCTCACGAGAGCAGAGTAGAGGGTAGAATAACCTCCTTTGAGCTTTCGTTTTGTTTGTTTTATAAAGTAAGATGCTTAATAGAAACTTCTTAATTACTTTCAGTGTATTGCATGCCACAAGACCACTGCATACAAGTAAACAGCACTTGGCTCCTTTGCCACCTCTGCCTGAGAAAGGAGGAGAAGTGCGCCATGGTTTGATCCCTGAGGAGTTTTTCCAGTTCCTGTATCCTAAAACAGGAGTTACAGGTGAATGTGTACTTTATTACAAATGGTGTGTTTAATTAGGCTCATTTAGTTCTGTTCACCACTACTGCCTGTTGAAAAGGTAAAAACATAAGCAGAAGGAGGTTGGGAGGAATAAGACAGTGCGGCACTTCCTGGCTCTGATGCTCCTTTAGCTTTAATTAAAAACTAAAGGAATGTCATGAGCTTGATCTTGCAGGAAGATTGCTTTGCCTGCTGATCCTCAAAACCTTTATATGGAGTTTTTTGCCTGTTTTTGAATGAACAGAAGTCATTCTGCAAGTTGCTTCCACCTTTGGCGGGTGTCCTTGTACCACTGTTGGTGGTATTGTGTTTCTGCTTTTCCTGATGGTAAAAGAGAGTACTTCATGATCTTCTAGTAAGTAGCTGCCTCTGCAATGAGCCTCTTTTTGCTTTGTACAAATGATGCTGCTTTATTTTTTCTTCAGGGCCTTACATGTTTGGAACTGGACTCATACTGTACTTTCTGTCGAAGGAAATCTATGTAGTGAACCATGAGACGGTTGCAGCTGCCTGCATATTATCAGTCATCATTTATGGTATAAAGAAATACGGGTCTGATGTAGCAGCTTTTGCTGACAAACTTAACGAGGTAACAAACCAAACCATAATCTAACTGTAGTAGTTACTAACTATTCTAGGTTATCTCCTTGAAGATTTGGAAGAGTACTGTGTCCAGCCTGTTGTAAATATCTGAGTAATGTTGCTTAAATAAGGTATGGTTTAGATCTTATGTTGGTGGTGTTACTTCAGAAATGAAACACCTCATGCCAGCAGGAGTGACTTGATTGTGAACTCTAGTTTGGCCAACTTGCCATCCTTTAACCTCAACCCTGGCACAATTATTCAGACATTTCTCAAATCTTAATGAATTACAGATCAGTTGTTTTCTTGCAGCTTACTTTCTTCCTGAGGCATGGCTTTTGTTTGTTCTTTTCAGGAGAAACTTGCTAAAGCTCAAGCTGTGAAAAATGAATCTATTGAAGGTCTCGAGGCTGCCATTGAACAGGAGAAGAAGGAGCAGTGGCGTGTTGAAGGCCGCAGTTACCTCTTTGACGCTAAGCGGGTATGCAGCTCCATCCCTATTGCTGACTTCCTCTGCATTCTCTGCTGCATAATCTGGGTGCCTCTTAATTGACTACCAAGTAGTGAACCGTTTGCCCTTGGTCTGTTGCAGACAGGGCCCATTCCACTGCCAGATCCAGCAGCTTTTGCTATAGAATGTGTTCTGCTGTTTTGTGTTCTTGCCAAACATTAACCCTTTGATTTCATCATCTTTGTCTAGAATAATATCGCAATGTTGCTGGAAGCTAATTATCGAGAGAGGTTACTGACAGTGTACAACGAAGTAAAGAAAAGGCTGGACTATCAAGTGGCTATGCAGAATTTAAAGCGTCAGAAAGAACAAGATCACATGATTCAGTGGGTGGAGAAAAGCGTTGTTCAGAGCATCACACCTCAGCAGGTACTTGCTTGGTCTTAGTCTGCTTTACATTTTAGTCTGTACGAATATTTGCTGTCCTGTGATTTTGGCCTAAGCCAGAAGATGATGGGTGATCTTTGGGTGACTTCCAGACAAGGCTGCAACACACTCCTGCTGCTGAGTATGAGCTGCAAAGCTCAGTTACTTGGTATCAGGGGCTTGTTTGCTGGTGATTTAAGGTGGTGTGTGGTAGTGGTACAGCACAGAGCTAGGCTTGTGATAAGTTGTATAGCTAATAGGGAACTTGAGTGGCATATTCTCTGTATAAGACTATGGCAGTTTAAGATCTGCAGATGGGCTCTAGATGAGCTTTCTTCTAAGGAATGAAGCAGAGAACAAAAGACAGAAAACATGTTCCTAGCACTGCCTGCAGATGTTTTAATGCAGGTTACTGACTGGATTTGAATCTGACTTACAGTTACAACTGCATATCCCTGCTGATCTGTAACCCATTTTGTGCTTCTAAAAATGAGTATTTAAAGTGCATTCAAAAGAATATTTTACTTGTTTAAATGTCTTTCATGAAGTCTGTCTCCTGAAAGCTGTTTTCCTTTCCTTTGCAGCAGAAGGAGAGTATTGCAAAATGCATTTTGGACCTGAAGGCGTTATCGAAGACTGCCCAGGCAACAGCGTAACCACGTCCAATTCCACTGACATGTCTCTTACTGTTGAAAACTGTACAGTTCTAAAGTATCATTAAACAAACAAACAAAATCCTCTGCTGTCTTTTACTAGCAGTAGCAACTTTTTGAAGTAGCTGGATTGGTCACATACATCACTAGTTAGTTCATCATGGGCGATTATTCAGTCAGTATGTGCAGTTTGGTTTGGTTCCCTTTTTGTTCATGACCACTTCCAGAGAGCAGACACAGAACTTCACTGTGAAAAATTCAGGTTCTACTACAGTGATCGGTTTTTGTTGTAGAATTCGGTGTGATAATGACCTGTAGATACCTACTGAAATTGTAAACATGTTCTAAAATCAGATGAGCACCCATGCTCCCGTTCACCTGAGCTGATACTTGGTGGTACCTGAACAAATATCCTTTTAAAAATGATCTGAAAAACCCCCAAACCACTTCCGTAACAAGGCTTCAAATGGTGACAACAGTGTCTTTCTGTTCCGTAGAAGAGAGGATGTAGCTGGCAGGAAATGTGTCAAAAGCAACAGGAAGACTTTGCTTCAACTGAAATCCCCAGTATGAGAGTGAAAATGGTGAAGTGGATAAGTTTATTCTAGAGTGTTTTTTTTTCCTGGGTATTCATAGGAAACACGGGGAATAGTTTAGTGTGTGTTATACAGCCTAAGCCTTTCAGGTTTTTTTAATAGGAAATATTTTCCCTGAAGGATTTTGTTACATCTCAAACATCCCAGATGAGGAGAGCACTTACCTGTGTGCAGTGTCAGCCCTTGTGTGCTGGGAAGTGATCTCTGTAGTAAATAATCTTTAAGCAGACTAGGGTGTGCTTACAATGCCACTTGCACGAATTGGTCCTGCAGTGGGGAAGTGCTTGTTTTTAGTGGAGTTGGTGAAATAGGAGGTTTTTTTAAACTTTTCAGTGCAACATTTCAGCAAAAAGGTATTCTTGAGAGGTAAGCATCGAACTGAAAATGAAGCTGACTTTTTTTTTGTGGACACTTCCTCAGAATACAGATGTTTTTCACTTTCCTGAGGTTTTTAAAATGCAAAAAAAAAGGTGAAGTTGCTCCACTTCCACATTTGTGTAACCCCAGCTGTGAATGGCACTTGAGCTTTCCCTAGTTGGACTGATTCTTCGCACAAAGCAAGTGGTTTACCTGCAGTGGCAACACCTCGTGACTCTTCAACCTGCAGGTGGGCAGCCGCTCCATGGTCCAAGGTAAGATGGAGTTGTGTCACATCTTGGCCTGCCTTTTATTACTGGGAAACAACATGCTTTTGGACTTGGGGTAGGAAACTGAGGGGTCATAATGGTTTGACTCTTAGGCAACAAGGGCAGCAAGAGGCATTCAGAGAATAGGATGCCTGCTTTTAAGCCGTTGTCAGTGCTACTCTCACTGTTACAGTGTACTTTGCAAGGCTTGTAGTGACTAGTCCTAGACGAGGAACTTTGTAGTCGACTCATACTTCCTTATCTTTACATTTCCACCCCCAAGTTTAAGAAGAAAGTTACTGTTCATTCCTTGTTGGAGAAAGTCTGTGCTTTTTTGAAAGCTGCTGCTCATTCTGAAAGTTCACTCACTTCTAACTGCTGCAGAAATAATAATGTGGGTGCTCTAGTTATTAAATATACTCCAATCTTTGAAAGAAAGCAGCCTGTTCATTGGAGTATAATGACCATGCACATGTGCTTGGGAACAAGGTGTTGGGAAGGAGAATTCACACTGAGGTTGCTGGGTTTGTGCCAGTTGAAGATGTCTGAAAAATTGATTAAAAACTATTAAAGTGTGAGTTAGAAGAGGGTGACAGGCTTGTTTTACTCTAGTATATGTATATAAATATAACTTTTCTCCCTTCCTTTTAGCTTCCCTTACTGTTCATTAGTGTTTGGAGAGAATGGGAGTGAGATCCTCAAAAGTAAACGCAGGTATTTCCTTCTTTGAGGAGTTTTCTTACATGCAGTATCCTTGCCTAAGATAATACCATCCTGACTGAGAAGAGCTGCTGGGGGGGTGGCTTAGCAGGAGGTGTATGTGTTTGGCGAAGAATTGCATTGATGCCAAAGGCCTCTGTGAGACAGTAAGAGTCTAAATAACTCATTTTTTCTGTCTGCTGTTTCCACTTTCAGCCCTCTGATAGATAAATGTTACAGAAATGATGAGTACTCTGCAGTTCTTGTTGCTTGTAGCATCACTGGAGAAATTAACACGCTTTTAAACCAGGTTTTCATTATTGTTCTTTTCACTTCCAGTTACACCAGAACCCATTGCCACCACTATTACTGTACGTACCACTGCATACACCTCTGCAGCTGTCTTCAAAGGTTCAGAAGTCAAATGCAGGCTTGATAAGTAAATGTTCCACTTTTTATTTCCTGTCTTCAAACACAGAGACTGCAGACTCGCTCTGTAAAGGAGGAGTTACATGCAATGTGTCTCATGTCTTGGGGTTTTAAACGGTTGCACAGAATTTCCAGTCTGTGCAGTAGATATTTAATTCATAGTGATGCTTAATGTAGATATGAATCTTTAATCTCACGGGGCTGGGATAAATGATACATTACATTCCAGTTTGATGAACTGGGAATTCTGACACTATTTCCTGTGTATCAACAGCCATGAAACACTCTACATATCACTAGCCTTTATCTCTGGTGTCCTGGTGACTGTTCTGGTTTTTGCAGTCATCCACCTCTTCAGAAAAAGTAAGTGACAGCAGAGGAAATAGCATGATGATCCAGACCTGGCGGCAGAGGAGCGCTTAATATCTTGTGCTGCACATCTCAACACAGATGGTGTGAAGTTTCTACACTCTTTGGGCTGCATCTTGCAGCATCAGGGTTTCAAAGTAACTTCTAGGAAAGTTACTCTGAAAGAGGCTCAAATTATGTCTCCCTTGAATAACTAATGTAGTAGTGAACTTGTCATTCCTGGCAGTAACCTCCCATGAATCATCCCAAGGGCTCTTTACATGGAAGAATTAACTTCTGCACTGATGAGCTGTGGGTTTTTGGTCGTGGTAGGGTTTCGGGGGTGTGGGTTTTTAGGTTGGGTTTTATGGTCCTAGCCCTGGCCACGCAGTGTGTTCTCACCACATCCATCAGTCACTTTTATCCCACTTTCAGCAGGCAGGGGCTCAGGCTGCCACACTTCACTTTGCAGTGAGAGTCTGTGGTGGATTTCATAAGCTGTGTCTGAGCCACACGCTCTGGAGCTGCTCTGTCACCCCACTCTTAAGCCTGTGTTGCACTCTGTCTGCAACAAGTGCAGACAGCTGAGGCTGGTGTCCTTCTCCTCCCTAGAGTATAAGAGATCCCACCAGACCTTACAAGATCAAGTTCCCCTCCCAGCAGTGACTGAGGAATCTGCTAAGAACATCCAGGTAAAGGTCACAACTATTCCTAATGTTACATGTAAAGACTTCAGATTCTTGATAGATAAATATTAACTGGGGGAAGAGAAAAGGGCTTTGCTTTTGCAAGGCTCGAGTGTTAGTTGACAGTTCTTTTGACTAAGGAAAAGTGTTTTCTGTTGTGCATCCTGTTCAGCCTGTTTAGAGTAGTCCAGGGAGTTCTTTGAGGAGGTGCCTGGACAGTAAGAGGAAAGATACTCCTCTGTTATCACAGGGCTCAAATGCTGTTCTCCCTACATATTTCAGGTATCTGGGGCTTAACTAAATCACTACTTGGGCAGATCATAGAATCATAGAATAGCTTGAATTGGAAAGGACTTTGAGATCATCCAGTTCCAACCCCCCTGCCATGGGCAGGGGTGCCTCACACTAGACCATGTCACCCAGGGCCATGTCCAACCAACCAGGTCAGGGGGAAATCTTTTCAAAGGCAAGTATTTCTGCAGTTTGCCTCCATGATAATGATTTTTTGAGAGCCCATAATGCAGAGCTGACCCAGGATGCTGAGCTAGATTAACTGGTCTGATCCAGCATATGTAGGGACAGACTGACTGCTAGTGGTGTGTCGCATTGAGGACAAATTAAAAGCAGGAAATCCATACCGAGGTGCTTGCACATTCTCTAATGTCTGTGGCTTCTTTCACATCCCCAGAGTGATGTTGCCTACGCCTCTCTGGTCTTCCAGCAGAGTGGGGCACCAGCAGCTGTGTGATGATGGAGCTTCTAGTGAAACGAAGACACCTGCACTTTCTGAACATCGGATGCTGCCAGAACATTATATCAAGGCCTGTAGTGTGCTGGGAAATACCAACACTGCTGTATGTCTAACATCAGCTCATTTTATAGTTACCAGGGGAAACTAATGTCTCCTATTCCAAACTTCTTTGTGGTTGTGGACAAATTGCTTTTTATACCCTATTTCCCAATCTCTAGAAATCTCACTGCACTTGTAAAGTTCCCATTTATGTCTTTGCTGTTGCTCTGAATGACCAATGGAAATGGAAACGTTACTCTCTGTCCATTCATGTCTGTGCCTTTGTGTTTCCCTTTTCTGTCACCGACTATGTTTTCCTTGGCTTTTTAATTGCCAAGTGAGTTATTTTCTGCTTCCTGAAGTTATGATAACAAAATGTTTGTATGCAAATATCTGCTTCCCAGTTGGGTCATGTAAAAAGAAATGCACAATCACAGTGTGACAGTCCATTTCTGAAAATGTTAATTACCCAGTGTTCTAAATAGACTGTAGAAAGTTAAAATTCCCCTTTCATAAACTGGGGAACAAGTTGACACTAGTGAGTCATTCTTAGCAGGGGCACAGAGAAGCTTCTCTGCATGTTCCTGTGCCTGCAGGTGGGAGGTTTGTTGTTTAAGTGCAATGATCTCCATCAGTTGTTTAATGCTTCTCCTGCAAGGCTGAATCAGAGCGAAGTTTCCTGCTGCCTTAGTCCTGTGAGCTTCAGAAGCTGCCTTGTTTATGGTCACCAGAGTGTCAGATTCTTGCAGTTATTCCTCTTTTCTGGAAGGGCTATTGTGAACCCCTCTGAAGGGGAATTTTTTGGCCAGGACAAGTGCTTGGGTCCTGCTGCCTCCTGTGAAGCAGCAAGTCCAACATATGAGAAGCTTCAAATGAGTGAGGCCACCTGATGGCAGCACGAAGCCGTGATGGGCAGATGGATTTCCCTCATCGCTCGGTTGGTGTGTTTCCAACAAGCAGTTAGAGCAGCTGCTCCACCTCTGCCCTGCCGGCCTTTGGGGCTGCAGAAGCTGGTGGAAGTGCAGGGGCCCATTGAAACACAGGTTCACAAGCACCATCACATTCTGAACTCTGGCTTGAGAGGCGTGCTGACCATTCTACAGGACCAGGAACAGGACTCTGAGCAACTGAGAAGTATGATGGTCTGAAAATTTACGAGGCTTGCACTAATGTGTCTTCACCACACCAAGAGGAATGCTGCTTTCCTGTGTTAGATACTGTTAGATCTTGTTAGAAGTGCAAGAAAAGGTGACTTCCTATTGAGACCAGTTAGCATGTTGGGTTTTTCATGTAGATGTTTCCTCACCGTGAATTGTACTGACACATCACAACCATCTCATGTACTTTGTGACATGGCACCAACCACAGTGCAGCAATTTTGTGTGCCTACCTAGAGCCCTTGGAGATGGAGGGTGACAGAGACCTCAGTTTGTTGTGTGGCTGCTAGTAAGTCCCAGATTCACTTCAGAGCATCCTTCTGCTATCTCTTTCCCATGCCAAGAGCCTTATCCAGTCATACACAGCTTTTACCAGTAGCCATCGGCCAACTCTGTTTTATGGAAGGATAGAGGAATTTGGGACATTGGCATCTGCTAATCAGAATAGAGGAGGGTTTGTGTGTCCTTTGTTTTGCTATTCAGGCTCAGATTTAGTCTAAATTGACAGAGAAGACAAAGGGTGTAAGAATACTCAGTGAGGACGTCCCTGGGTTGTGAGTGGCTGCATTACCAACAACAAAGAACATACTTATCCTATTTTTCAGTGGACCAAACTGATCCTTGTGCAACAAAAATCAAAACAACACTGGCAAAACTTCTGTCCAGTATCTTTTCTGTATTTTGAAACTAATACAAAGACATATCTAGACACATCTTTACGTTCATCTTTAGTCATCAGATCTGTAACAGGCTGCTACAAAGAGTAACTGTTCTTCAGGTTTACAGAGGAGTCTTGCAGCACAAATCACATTTAAATCAGGTGTTAGCAAAGCAGGATTGATTGTAGGAAACACGAGGATATGCTGTGCAGGAAGAATCCCCCAAGTAGATGGGGTTTGGTAACCAGTTCTGACAATGTACATGTGATGGGTTTGGAACTGTTGATTCTATCCCTGGTCAGGCAGCTGGGGGAGGAGGGAAGAACTTAAAGATATTATTAGTTTATTTTCTGACAGTCATCTCCTTCTGGTATGTCCCCAGCACTAAGGAGCAGCTGGGTGTGTTCAGCACTTTGGCTCTTGCCTGGTGCTCTGTGTCTGAGTTAGTTTTGCAGGAGTCTGTGGTGAGCACTGTCTTGCTTTGGAAGCCAGGGAAGTGTCCCACTGTTAGGATGTCCTGCAAAGCAGAGGTCCCCAGAATCAGTGCAGCATCTGGCCTTCCTGAGATGCTCAGCTGTGTGACTCACAGCAGCAGGGTTTTACCAGCTGCTGATAGATCCAAGCTGGGGCACTTGGAGCAAAACATCTTCCTTGTTACCAGTTCTTTGGGTCATGGGTCTACCAAATCATGGTCAAGTTAATCCATAAAACCTAGAGGGTCCTGTTAAATGAAGATGCTTGCCTGGAAGCTCAGCAACCACCAAGCAGAATTCTCTGGAGTACCCAATGCAGAAGACCATAAATGGTTGCTTTGGGCTTAATGTCAAATGTGCATCAGATTGGGTAAGAGGAGCTTGCCCTTATTATAAAGCAGTTTGTGCAAGAGTGGGAGTAGACAAAACACAACCCCCATTTCCCATCAGTTCCTTCACAAAGTGGTTGTCAATGGTCTGGTATATACAGGCAGGTCAACATTTCTTGATTTATGACTGCTCTTCTGGTGTTTGCTCTGTGGTTTTTTGCACAGAACTGGCTCTGTTTTTTTTTGCACAGGATATAGGTCCTTAAAATTAAAAGGTATGTGTTCTTGAACTTCTTTATCTTGCAAGCATAGACAATGGGGTTCATGGCAGAGTTGGCATGGGATAAGAGGATTCCCAAGTACATCAAAACCTCAGGGATCTGAGACGTGGGGCAAAAATAGGAAACACAGTTTATAATGCACAGGGGCAACCAGGATATTGCAAACAGGAAGAGAACAAGTGCTAGAGATTTGGCTGTCTTGAACTCCCGTCCATAAAACCCTCCTGTCCCTCTTGTGTTGATTGAACCTTGACTCAGTTTCGTCCGGATGATGTAGAAGATTTCAAGGTACAGAGCGCACATGATGAGCAGAGGGGCAAGGGTCCATGTGAAGAAGATAAGATACACCATGTAATCCATCCTCATCACAGAGATAAACTGACACCTGAGAAACTCCGAGGTGCTTCCTGCTGCCTTGTTCCACCCAAACATGGGGACTAATCCTACAAGCAGGGACAGAAACCAGCACAAACCCAGTGCCCACCAAACTCTTCTCTCTGTAGTGACTCTTTTATATCTGTGGAGGAAGAAAACCCAGGTTTGCATTAAACAGAAGTAGTTAAAATGGTTAAGGATGGTTTCAGGAACTTGCATGTTCAGATATTACAGGTTCATGGTCACAGATTTGGAGCACTAACCCAAATCTTATTCTGAGACAAGCTTAACTCTCCACTTGTACCAGTTGCTTTGCAGCACCCTTAAGAAGAACTAGGCTCAACTTCTCCTCTTTATAATTGCATGATTTCAGCTATTTCTTGTTTCATTCTGATCCTAGTGCCCCTTTTGCCTCGATGTTGCCATTATTAGCAGTTCTGTCTTATTTCTCAGCTTCCTTGGGTGTCCATTACTCTTTACACTTGGTTTATGCCATTTGTAGCACCAAACTGTTCTTTCATCTTTCAGTTTTACAGGTCCTTTCCCCATTGCTGCTACTTTCATGCTTGATGTTATGCTCTGGATTTTTAGCTCATGTGCTTTTCCATTCCAACATGCAAAGTGAATGGCTTCTTAAATCAGCTCTTAAGTCTGTTAGTTCTTTTGTATTTTCAGCAAACAGTGAAAGGGATTTTATTTAGAAGACTCAGAAACCCAGTGAAATCTTCAGTACTCTCAGCATTAACAAAAGAGCTGAAGAATTCAACTGCTCAGCCACAGGCTCACCCTGTGTGGCCAAATTCAGACTAGCACTAACAGCGAGTTCTCAGCCCTGTACAAGCATCCCCAGGGTCTGTCTGTGTTGTATTATTAACTGCAGGGAGTGGTTCCTGCTCTAGAGAGTTCAACTCAGGTTGGGCTTTTAGGAACAAGTCTTTTCTTCATGCCCAAGCACGCATTTCTAGGGCAAATATGTGGCATTTTGGGGCAAATATTTGGCATTTAGTGTAAATACTTGTTAGAAAAGTGACAAGTTAAGGAGGAGAGGGGTGGTGGCAGCCCTGGGGCAGAGGCTGGGGGTTGGAAAGCTGGCAGGAGCATCAGTGGAGGGGCCCGTGGTGGTCCAGCACTCACCTGGTTGGTAGCTTCACCCGCAGGTACCTGTCGATGGCGATGGCCAGGAGGGAGAGGATGGATGCGTTACTGAAAGCCACCATCAGGCAGCACATGGCCAGGCAGGTGTAGAAGTGGGCGCTGATGCCCAGGCTCACCACGATGGCCAGGGGCATGACGAGGATCCCCATCGCGATATCAGCCAGCGCCAGGGAAACGATGAAGTGCAGAGTCATGTTCTGAGACGTCGAGTTCATCCTCACCACCCAGATGACCAGGATGTTTCCCAAAGTGGCCAAGACAGCAACCAAGCACTCTGTACCGATGTAAATCCCATGCAGGCTGTTGAGCTCCTGGCTGCTGTGCAGCTCCTGGCTGGTGTTGAGCATGGTGAGTTGTTGGAGATGTTCCCACCTGGGCTGAGCTACAGAATCATAGATTGGTTTGGGTTGGAAGGAGCCTTAGAGGTTATCTTGTTCCATCTAGGGACACCTTCCACTAGAGCAGGTTTCTCCAAGCCCCTTCCAACCTGGCCTTGAACACTGCCAGGGATGGGGCAACAATGACTGTGTGTAGGATTCGTCCTTGGTTTCTGGTGCTCAGTTGTTCCAGTGACTCACCAGTGTGCAAACCCCTTCCAGTATTTCACATCCTTGATACTTGGGCAGCAAATCAGCCGTTGCCTTTCTTCACAGCTGCAAATACCTTAGTATCCAGGGAATGTTCCCTTCTCTGGACCCATCTGAAGCTCGGAGCATCCCTCCAGCAGCCTGGTATCAGTCCAGGACTTTGGAAAGTTAAAAAAACCCCAAACAATAAAGGAAGAGCTTCCACAAGCCTGCCTGCCAGCTGCCTATAACCAAACACTTTGCTTCCTCTTCCAAGTTGCAGTTTTAGAAATGGGAGAACTGTAACCAGAATTTATGTACAAAGCTGGCACTTATCAATCTAGATAATCGCCCTGTGGTCACTATAGGAAATGAGGCAATTCAGGGGACTTTAGGAGGGTGCTCCGTTATATTCCAATACTTGATATAATCCAGGGCTTACCATTTCAGTGAAGGCCCTGAGGTGGCTGAAAAACGCTTTTTACTTGGAGCTTTCTCAATCTGACAAGAACACTTGCACTGTAGGTGACTTTTTCAGCCCTCATTTCTGCCTGAAATCAGCATGACAACCCACCGAGCCATGTTCAGAGCAGCACACTTTGCTATGCTCTGCTTATGGGAGATGGAGAAACTGAGGAAAGGTGTGGGAAGTAGCAGGGAGAGGCTGTGAAAGCTGTGATCCGCTTGCTGCGGGTGAGCAAATGCTCATTGATGTGGGTCTGCAGTGAAAGAGCTGCTCCCATTTCAGATGAAACTGAGAAGAGATGCAAACATGAGCTCGGGTCAGCCTGCGAGTCGCAGGAGAACCTGGCTCTTGGGCAAATAGAAGCACACATGCTCCAAGAAGGAGCGAATAATGAGTAAAGGATTAGGTGGATGGTGCTATATCAGTGTAATGAAGCCTTAAGCAAATGTGGGTGGTATTTGGTTTCCTGGACACCGAGTTCTCCACCTCTTCCACCCAGTTTTCTGGCAAAACTGAGGATGGGCAAGTGATATCATCCTGAGGAGGAGATGGAGCCAGAAATACATGAAACTTCTTTATTCTCTGCTGTCAAAAGAGTTGGACAAATTCTGCTTTCCTGGAATCAACGCAAGTACTTCTCGCTCCCGGCCGGGAGGGTGCTTGGTACATGGCGAGCTCTCCATAGACAGTCCCAGTCTGTGCTGGTTTTCTGATCAGAGCTGATGCAGGATATCTGTGGGTGCAGGAGGCAAATCCCAGGTCATGGCTGGGATGTAGGCAAGGCTTTTGTGAGCTGAAGGAGCTGCTCCTCGGGGAAGGACCTGGGCAAGGGTGGGCAGCCTGCACCGTGCAGCTATGAGCATCCATAGGAAATGACCTGGGTGAGATGCTCCCCACTTCCTGCCCTCACTGTGCGGCTCCTCTCAGGGCTTTTGGTTTCCGTTCTCTGTCTTCTTCCACTCCTGTGGCTGCTGCAAGATGCCTCTTGTAGAGACCACTGTGTAGGGGCTTTGGTAGGGCCTCTGCTGCCCTGTGCCTGCTGCATGCACAGCTCCCGGGCACCACAGCTGTGTGGGACCTTAGGGGAGCAGTCAAAATGTTGCTCCTTCCATTTGCCCTTTGCTCACCCAAAACCCAGCTGAATGCCTTTGCATTTGCCTTCCTCACCCCTTCCTTGTGGCAAGGGAACAGACAGGGTCACTCCAGGCCCTTTGGTCCTGTTTTCTTTGATGCTACACCTTCACTGCACACCGTATGGATGGAGCAGGCCTCAAAGAAGGCAGAGCAATCTAGCCACAATAGAGCTGTGCATTGGCTAATCCACCCTGCGAGACTGCACAGGGAGGAGATTGTACTTATCAGGGCTAAAATTTAGCAGAATTACCACAAGCCCCTGTGGTTTGTGCCAGGTGCCACCAGATAACGTTGACTCTTCTACAGAAGCACAAATAAACCTCAAGGAGACAGAAAAGATGTCACAGGGCTTTTTACCGGTCTGATAGATGGATGCTCGTGGACAAATCTGCTCATCTTTGGGGAGCTGTGTGCATAGTTCTGAAGGAGGAACTTCATTCAGAGCACATCAGGGAGGAGCTGGCTTCTGACCCAGCTGCTGGGGCCGAAAATGAGAGCTCAGCACAGCGTTGCTTCACTTTGGATGTAAACAGTCCAAAATGGCACTAGGCAGCCTGGATGTGATCTATATCACCATGGAGTCTGTCATTGGGATAGCTGCGGTGGTGGGCAATGCCTTGGTGATCTGGGCAGTGAAGCTGAACCCAGCTCTGCAGAAGACCACCTTCTTCTACATCGTTTCCCTGGCCCTCAGTGACATTGCCATGGGGATCCTTGTCATGCCGCTGGCTGTCATAGTGAGCCTCGGAGTTGTCACCCATTTCTACTCCTGCCTCTTCATGTGCTGCCTCATGATGATCTTCTCTCATGCCTCCATCCTGTCTCTCCTGGCCATTGCAGTCGACAGGTACTTGCGAGTGAAGCTGCCGACCAGGTGAGTCTGGGCCAAGGGCCCATCTCATCATCTCTTCCCCATTTCTCTTCCCCCTTATGTTTTCCTTCTCCCTGCACCACAGGGATTCCCTGGGCATCATTGGTTCTCTGAGGGAAACTCACACAAAGGCAGAGGCTCCCAAATGTGGGCAATGGAGCCCCATCGGTGCCTAAGAATCCTCAGCTTCTGAGAGTCAGGGAAGGGATGCTCATACATGGGGGTGTGCTTGAAGCCTGATGGGCTTTAGGTTTTCCCCTCGAGACAGCCCGATGCAGGTCAAAATGAACCAATCTTCCCGAGGAAAGGGTCTGACCCCTTTCTGTGGGTTCTCTTTAAAGGGGGTTGGTGACTGTTGGGAGGTTCCCCTGTAGTTCCAAAGCACACTTTAAATGTCAGAGGCTGCGAAGGACCGACTGCACAGAGCTGTGCTTAACTGGGATGAGGCCAACCAGAAACAAGTGCTTAAAAGCCCAGGTTCCTGCAGATGTAGTTCCCCTTTCTGAAGAACCACATCTAACGTGGCTGATGCTTCCTGCCCACCCAGGTACAGGGCAGCCGTCACCAAGAAAAGGATCTGTGTGAGCCTGGCACTCTGCTGGCTTGTGTCTGTGCTGGTGGGGCTGGTCCCCATGCTGGGATGGAACCGGCACACGGGCAGCTCCAGCTACATCGAGTGTCACTATCTGGCTGTGATGAGGATGGATTATGTGGTGTATTTCAGCTTCTTCGCCTGGATCCTCCTTCCCTTGCTCCTCATGTGTGCGCTCTACGCCGAGATTTTCTATATCATGTGGGCAAAGCTAAGCCCCAGCTCAGCAAGTGTGGAAACAGCTTGTGGGAAGGAGTACGAAATGGCCAAGTATCTGGCCCTCATCCTCCTCTTGTTTGCAGCATCTTGGCTGCCTCTGGGCATCCTGAACTGCGTTTCCTACTTCTGCCCCTCCTGCAGCACCCCGCAGGCTCTGACCTACCTGAGCATCCTGCTGTCCCACTCCAACTCAGCCATGAACCCCGTCGTCTATGCCTTCAAAATCCAGAAGCTCAAGGAAACGTACGTTTTCATTCTGAGGAATTACATCCTGCCCCAGAAGGCAGAGTCCGCTCTTTCCAGTGTACAGCAAACAGAGCAGGGAGCGAGCAGCATCTGAGCTCTCCAGGCTGGGTCAACTGATGGGAGCAACCAGAGAGGGGTGGACATGGCACAGACACTGAGATGCTGCTCAGATCACACACTCTGGGGCAATGGTTGTGTGGTGTGTGTGTGTTCAGCTAATGGAGCTCCAGGCAGTGTGATGCCAGGCCCAGGTTCCTAGCAAACTCCACAGATAAAGAAGATCCTTTGTGTTCCTAAGGCAAAAGATGGGAGAGGTTTGGAGTGGAGGGATGTGGGGGGAGATTGGCACTGCTCGTGCTCATGGGGGTTTTGCTTAGTTAATAAAACCCATCTCTGTGCACTGCTGGTGGTGGTGGTGAGGTTGCTTTCCCATGGGGGCACTGTCTCTGTGTAAAAGATGCTCACAAAGCTGCTGGTCCTACCAGGGCACAGGCTGTTGGGTCTCTTTGTGTCCGTCCTGTTTAGCAGTCACGGAGAAGGCAGGTTTAGATCAGGTCTTAGGAAGAAGTTCTTCACCGGGAGGATGCTGAGGCCCTTCGGGTCCTCATCCCCACTGATGCAGCCAAGGGCGATGCCATCAAACCCAGCCGAGCTGCCCCTGCCCTGCCTGGGGCCGTACTGGGGTGTTTCCGTCCAGCACCCCCTGTTCCCACCGTGTTCCTGCAGGGAAGGCACAAGGTGCACTTGTTTCCCCCACGTGCTTCCTCCGCCAGGCAGCATCTGTTTCCGGTCCTAAATACAACAGGACCGGGTTGCGGGGCTGCTGTGATTCCTCTGTCACCAGAGCCTGTGCCCTGCCGCTGACAGCCCTGCACCAGGGACACCCCGAGGTGCTGCATCCTCCTCCTGTGGGCTCCCAGCCCTTCTCCCACTGCCACCTTCAGCCCCAGTGTCAGGAAACACTGGGCTTGGGGGGGGGGTTATGGCTTGCAAAGCGATTGAACACTCCCTGCACGCAGGAGCCAAATGGCATCAGGGAGCGTTTTGGTGTGGAAATCGGCTCTGCCCTCCCCTTCCCACTGTTATCCACAGGCATCCAACCCCACATCCCAACCGAAGGGCTCCCTCCTGTACCTACCAAACTGCTCTCCCCTAAACATGCCCAGTGCTCCTGCTGAAACAGGGAAACACATGGCTGAGCAATGCACATCGGTGCTAACAGTCCTCCACTTAGTGCTGCTGCTGGCGATGCTCTGGGCACGTGTATACACAGGAATACATGCTGCTGTAACAAGAGGATCCTCCTGCTAGTTGTGTTGGAGTATTTGGATGCTTTTGCTGCCGCACGCAGTAATTTGTTTTCTTAACAACAGTTGTGATTTGAAGCCTTGTTCAGGCTGATGGAGCCGGCAGCAGGAGGGGCCGTGAGTAAGAAGGATCAGGCTCAGCTGCATGCGGGTCCAGGATTCATTTTACCACCCCTCCATGGTATCAGGTGGGTATCAGCAAAGGCAGAGTCTCTTGGGGAGCCCAGAAGGCTTTGGTTTAGATCAGGGTTCAAAGGTGTGGGTTTAGATCACGTTATTCAGCTGATGCAGCAGTGCCTGCAGAGCTGTGTGGAGAAGACGGCTCGAGGAGGAGCTCCCATGTGGCAGAGCCCAGGGATGTCGTACTTCATGGGGTTAAACAGTGTTTTGGATCCCGGTCCCCAAGCACTTGATGGATTTGCCATTTAAAGGCTATAGGCAGCTTGTTTCTTGGATGGCTCCAGCGAAAGGCTTCCAGCCATTCCCCAAGGATCCTCCTACATCCTGGTGAGATAAGGATCAGAAGGGAATGGGCTATCTGCAATCTCAGCTGCGCCTTTGCGCACTGATTCCCTTTTCACACTGGGGGCGGAGGGGAGGAGAAAGGATTTTCCAGAAAAGAAGTGTTTAAGTGACACACGGATACAGGGAAGAAAACCACCCAGCGAAGAGCTCATGTGAGGCACAGCAGCAGCAGCAGCAGCAGCTTTTGTTCTGCCTGAGCTGGACAATGCTTGTGGGCTACAGCAGGGCCTCGGCGCTTTGAGGCATCCATGTACTGCGCTCTCGTTCCTCTTTCCTTCCTCTCCAGCAGGCTCTGCTCTTGTGCCAGCTCTGGGGAAGGTTTGGGTTGGTTTGGGTTTTATTCTGGGACTTTAAGCTGTGACGTTTGCCCTAAAGGAAAGGGAAAGCAGCAGCTCATGAACCAAGAGGTGGTGGGCGGCGAGTGCTGTCCTGGCGCGTCCCTGCCTTGAAAGGAAGTGAAAGCAAAGCAGAGAGAGGATGTGGATGTGCAGCAGGGTCCCATCTGGTTTAACGAGAGTGACTGTGGTCTGGTGAACAACGAGCCCACAGGCGAGGCTGGAGCCTGGTGCTGGTGACCAATGGCATGTCCCTGCCCTGTGCCTCGGTTTCCCCATCCCTGGGAAGAGGAGGGTCTTGTCAGAGCACGCTGCGAGCTGGGAAGGGCTGGGCAGGAGCAGCATCCTTGTGGATTCCCTCTGAAACTTCCCATTTGGGCATGGTGTCAGTTGCTCCCTGTGATGATAAAGAACCACTGTCAGTGTCCAGCCATGGGTGGGAATGCAGCAGTGTGGGAGCTCCAGGCTCGGCTCCCATTGATCCCATTCTCGGGAATGGTGCTTTCCACAGCAGTTCCTGGACACCCTCTCCTTGATGCCTTGCGCCTGGGCAGGGAGATGCTGCTCCAGAAGTGAAACCCGTCCTCAGCAAACAGCCAGAACCATTTGGGATGTTTTCTGCTCCCTCCATGGGTTTGCTCAGCTGGGAGACGTGGCTTTGGACAAGAAAAGCCGAAACCTGGCATGAGGCTTTGTGTCTGCTCTTCTTGCTCAGCTCGTTGGGGAGCCTGTGTAGGAGGGAGATGAGGCTGTCAAACCAGTGCAGCTCAGTGGGTTCAGCTGCAGCCTTGAGACAGCTCCTGGTTGTCAGCCCCTGGAACTCCACGTGCAACCAGGGCAGGAATGCAGGGACAAGACTTGGATGAATGTGTTGATGTGCTGCAAAGTTAATACCATTTATAACTGGAGTTTTTATGGTTCCCTTTGAGTGTGGCTGTGCAGCGGGTGAAGCTGCAGGCAGGGCAGAGAAGGCACAGGACCCCATTTGATGCTAAATCATGGGCGCAGCACTGACCTTTCTTTCCCAGCCTGTGGGAGCAGTGATTCACCCCTGGTTATCCAGCTCATCCTGCCCAAGGCTGTTCCTTTCAAAGTCCCTGGGGCCAGCACTGACCTGTATCATGCTGTGTTTTCCTGCTGACCCATTAGGTACAGGCCTAAAGGGTATGGGGGCTGCTGCGAAGAGACGAGCCCCATTTGTGCAGTAGAACCACAGAATCCCAGCCTGGTTTGGGTTGGAAGGGACTTTAAAGCTCATGCAGCTCTAACCCCCTGGGTAACGCTATCACAGCGCTGCCTTTCCCCGCATCCCAGCCCAGGGCTGTCCCTGCCCAGGCTCCTGTAAATCAGAACGTCTCCATATCCCTCTGCGCATCCCGGGCATGGGGGCATCCCGCTTATCCCGCAGAACAAACACACCGAGCTCCTCCTGCTCTTCCAAGCGGCTTTGCTTGGAATGCTTTGTTCCCAGAGGTGCTCCTCTCTGCCTGGCTGCCCAGCCACAGCGCCATCACCCCTGGAGCTCTGAGCATTCACCTCCCATGGAACACGGGAGGGAATCACCTCTCCGTTTGCTATCAGGTAGGTGGCAGCAGACACAGGATCCTGCCGCAGGGCAGCACAGCGCAGAGCTTCCCAGCCTCACTCTTCATCAGAGATCGCTCCAAAACCCCATCCAAACCAGCACGAAGGAAATCACAGGGAGGCGAAAAGGGAGCTTGAGCTGGCAGGAGGCTCTTTAAAGAGGCGCTGTTCATTCAGCTGACACCAGAGAAGCTGTTCTGACACTTTACAAACTCTTCTGTGACGATTTTGCACCTAAGTAAGGGAAGGCTGGCAGGGGCGGAATGGGGTGAAACACCACAGTCAAGGGCCTGAGCTCTCTCCAAGGTGTAGAATCACAGAACCCCAGAATGGTTTGGGTGGAAGGGACCTTAAAGCTCACCCAGTTCCAACCCCCTGCCACGGGCAGGGACACTTCCACTAGAGCAGCTTGCTCCAGGGCCATTCCAGCCTTGCCAAGAGCTGCACAGTGGCCAGTGTTTGATCTCCTTATCTCATGGAAGTTTAATTTACAGAGGAAATCCCATCCCTGGCATTGCCATGGCCTCGTGCTCTGCTCCCCAGTCATTAAAGCAGGAAGGATCTTCAGGGCAGCCCCGTTACCACCGCTCTGATGAGCACATGGCCAAGGGTCCACGGCAGATAACACCATGGTTATCTGGTTATAGGTTATATAGGTTATATAGGTTTATAGGTTATAGGTTATATGGTTATAGGTTATGGTTATAGGTTATATAGCTTATATAGGTTTATAGGTTGTAGGTTATGGTTATAGGTTATAAGTTATATAGGTTTATAGGTTATAGGTTATGGTTATAGGTTATATAGGTTATATAGGTTATATAGGTTCTAGGTTATATGGTTATAGGTTATAGGCTATGGTTATAGGACAAACCGGTGTGTTTGGGTTCCTTGGTTACCCAAGGCAAACACTGTAATCGGCTCTCCAAACAGCGTGGCCATTGACAAATAGGCTGTTTATGGCCCAGCCTGGAGCTGCAGCTGAAAGCCTCTGCCACTGTGAGGAGCAGAGGCTCAGAGATGTCACGCAGGGGTCTCTGTTGGACCCAGCTTTGTAGGGATGGGGAGCTCGCTGCCCTGCCCGGCCCCCCATGTGTCCAGCCCCCGTGGCGCTGTGGAGCATCTCTGAGGGTGTCTTTGTGTTTTAAAGGATGGAGAAGGACCAGCTCTCACGAGCATCCCCCAGGAGCTGCTGGTCCACCCTGTCCAAGGGCTGCATCTGCTATTGCTGTGAGTCCTCCTGGATCCAGCTCCGTGTGTATGATGTTCTGCTACCCAAAACCTCCTTGTCCACGTGGTGCCACTTTCACCTTCAACTCTGAAGCTGCAGTCAGCCCATTTTTAGTACCCCTCAGAGCAGCTCCAGTCTTTTCAAGTCTCAACCCACAAGAAGGTTTTCAGGGCAGT